TTCTCGATGAAATAAAATATGTTATTGACTCTAAAACGACAAATATCCTCTATGCTTTCTCAGCTATCGCGTCTGTCTATTTCAATACATTTGTGTAGAAATGGGTCAGTTAAAAGTGCACTGAGGTGGGGTCGTGGAGGCTTGCTATACATTCATTTACAATAGGATTATTGGAGTATGTCATGGTGCCCATAACACGATCTGAAATGACATACATTATATGCCGTGTACATGTAGTTTTTAAATGCAGTTTTGACAACTGTATCTATATATTGTTTATGTATAATTAAGTATGCCACGTTTTATTCATATTCTATTCTCATAGTACATTGATATTGACAGAATCAAAATCCACAGTGAGTCAATACAAAGGCTGACTCGATCTCTTAACGAAGTAAAACGTACTATTCAAATGGCTTTGTATTGAATGCACCTTTAAGGATTCGAACCACTTCTTGTAATGTCCTTTTTTAACAACTATTATTTTGATAGCCGCTAACTTAGTTAAAGATACATTATGGAAGATTAGATAAAGAGCTGTCGGTTCTCACTATAATAGTTAAAAACTAGATAATGTAAAGGGAATTTATTGAACGAAGAATTTACCGATTGAATTTTAGGCCTAGCCTCGATCATCATTACTAAAGTCGGTACGATAAAAATATAGTATCGATTATCCATATTTTGATAATAAGCGTTGAGCAGCAGATCCGATTCAAATCCAGTAAATATCGCAGGCTAGCGATGACATCGAGAGTTGATTATGGTCTGGATAAATTAATTAATGTCTAATTAATAATTTAGATAACATTTCAGGCCTAAAGAAAGACCTGCAATAGGCAGATTTAGCTCTTGCATAATGTATGTTTAAATGATTAGAATTATATGAATATTTTATTTATTTAAACAGACTATAAATTCCAATGTGTGACCATTAATTGTTCATACAAATCTGTTGCCAATCTAGAAATGGGCATTGAAAATGTGGTTACAATAATAAATACAAGTTTAGGTTAGTGGTAACGAAACACAGTTGAGACACATGTGTCGAAGTTATGTAAAAGACCGATAGGTAACGCAACCCCAACACCACAGGCCGAAACTTTGACATGTTGTTACACCGGTGCTACACCATGCTAACCCGTGTTAGACGCTAGTTCACCATAACCCTGAATTTCAAACGACCCATTGTCACAATTTACACGTATATGTTATCTGTGATAAAACTTGGTTACAATTTCGTGTCTGGCAATATTTGTTCAAACATAAACCCTTAATGTAGCCTCTCTCTGTAAGTGATTCGCCATGTTTGAATGATTACCGAGTTGACAAGAGAAGGGTGAATCCTTCAAAACAATAAATTTATCAGTGCTGTTATTGTTATATAAATGATTAATTAGACATTTAATATAATGACTTAAGACCATAATCAACTCTCAAAGTAATCAGAGGCCCCGATTTTAAGTAGATTAGAACGGTTCGGCCATTTAATGATTTAATCTAAAAATGGAGAAGCGCGACTAAGTCTCGAATAACCAGCACCTTGGTTACGATAATAAACAATCAATGCACACATCTTGTCAAAAACTACAACGTCGCTCAGAATAAAGTAATTTGAATAAAATTTTCAGTATATTCATTTTGCATTTTCTATTTTGGAACTATCAAGAATGGTCAAGTCTTTATCTAAATCTTACATAAATTTGTAACCGAGATTATAAACATTCTATCAGAATATATAAGCATGCATATTATACATCATTTACCAGAGAATGAATAAATATATGAATTAATGGAGTTTAACGTCCCACTTTTCTGCTCTAACCGGGATAATGAAGACAGGCATACGCTATGAGGTAGTACCATCCAAACGACTAAACGCCGTTCCTTGCCAGGTCCCAGGTCCTTCGCCACGAACAAGGGGAAACCATGCTGGAAAATCCCGAGGAACTTTCCCAACATTTACAAGAGAAATTATCTATTACATTTAGGTTTCTTAGTAATACGGGGTATTTTTGAAAAACTCCGTCAAAGTTTGAATCACGCTGGCCGAATACTTGAAATTTGTATCCCAATTTGTTGAATTCTTTTTGCCAGCGTCCTATATTCCTCTAGTGTAAAACTGAAGTGAGCAGATTCTTCTTGTTTGTAAGGTTTTTAATGGTACTCCAACTATTTTATATCAGGTCCTCCATGGTGGAAATCTATGAGGTACAGAATAGTTCTGATGGGATTTTTTGGGATGACCAATATCTTTATTCAGAGAAGCAATCTTAGCATGGCTATTGTCTGTATGGTTAACCATACTGCCGTAGACTTGACAGCACACCAACAACTTTCATCACTGGAAGGGATATCCAAAAATCAAACTAGAATAATTAGTTACGAAGCTCTCAGAAATGCAAACCTTTCAGCAGAGTCTTTAAACAAGACGTCGATACTTGAATCTGATGACGCAAAAACACCATATTCTACAAGTTCCTGCAATGCTCCGATACAAGCCAATGCCATGAATAGAGAGGTCAGTGATATATATATGAACTTTATTTAATGGGTGGAACGGCCAATTTTGCTATTGGTGTGTGGATAAGGGGAGCCCGCAACTACCATAAATCCACCTTCGCAAAGGTGTTTAGTGAACATATACGTGTTTTTTTCCACGTGCTTGTAAAGAACGGTTAAATGAAATGGGCTTTAACGTCATACTTTTCTCCACAGACTGGTAAAGAACGGTTAAAGCAGGGTGATGCTTTAGGGACATTTTGATTCACCCTATTTATGTGTCGAAATAATAGCACCGCATGCTTGACATGTTTACACTATATTGTGCTTTTGTAGGTCGACCAGGATCAATTACAACCTGTTGCACTTTGATAAATTGACAACTTGACACGGTGTTTATGGCGTCGGTTTTTATTACAACATATCATTCGATTGATTGCATTCTTTTCGTATTGTGTAGCAGCAAATTACAGTGGTTAAAGTTATCATTTGATTTTTTTTAAAAAAAAAAGAATGCTGCATTATAGTTAGAGACACGGCGTTTGCTTCTTTTGCCAAGCAAATTCTATTTTTATTAGATTTAGGAATTTGGTGCGGCACAAATGACACAAATTGGGAAGCATCAGGTTCCAAGAATGTGACAGGAAGGGAGAAATCCTGAAACAACAAGGAGGACCACAGTCCATTTAAACAATTAAAATAATCCTCGCTGTCATTTTAAGTTCAACGAATTTGTGCCGTGACGGTCGTCACCAGTTATGTTTGTGTGATAAGAAACCATGGAGACGAAAGTTCAAGTGATACCAAACTGGTTTCAACTGGGAGGTAGCCTCCGCCACCCCTTCCCTCGCCTCGTTTTAAAATGGCGATTTCATCCTCTTACGATATGCATGTGCTCACTTCTCATATGATGATTAATTTTTCAGGATGGCGAATATAACTGGTCTAAGGATATGCAAGGCCTATTGCTTGGTGCTTTGTACTGGGGCTATGTTCCTTTGCAGATATTAGGTGGATATCTTATGACACGTTTTGGTATCAGAAGAACAGTTGGACCATGTATGTTTGTCATGTCCATTTTGACGCTTTTGACGCACGCTGCGGCCCTGATAAGCCCATGGGTTTTATTTGTTTTACGAATTCTTCTTGGAACCACAAATGTACGTAATCTAATTTTCGTGAATAGATTTGATCCAAAACTTGATATTTTCTTAATATTGAAATTTGTCATCATTTGTAAGATGAGATTTGAAATGATTTGTTGGGGTTTGACATGATTCATTTCACACCTGGAGGGCGAAATCTATTGGCATATAATTGAGACATTTCTGTAGTTTTACAAGACGACAACCCAGTAACTATTTCGAAAAACTGTTTATATATATAACCTAGTATGTCAGCATATTCCTGCCCATTGCTGGATTGGCTTCTGATACGTAAGCTTTTGAGGGAGTGTGTCTATTCTTCCCGTTCAATCAAATCTATCCCAAGTACAGCAATATGACAGCCCTACGTTTAATCTGGGGTCTTCTCTAAAACCTTGGACAGTGATTTAAGGTATTAAAAACGGTATTGTTCGTGGCCAAATAGTATTGTTTACATTGTATCCGTGTTGATAGCCTCGTTTGTCGCGCAATTAGTTTTTCTGCAATATTCTGCTATGCACTGGTTAATTGGGCATAATAAAATCGAGTCATGACGTAACGTTATGTAAACATATTTGGTCCAATTTGGAGCTCTGTTTAAAGCGTAATGATATTGTTACGCAGTTAGCTATTGGTTGTTAATCGGACTGTTGACTAGTCATAATTTGAAACAGAAATTTGCTTCCATTACAACAAATCTAAAAGCAAATCTAAAAGTCATTTCCACTCTATACTGATCATAGCCTAAGCACGAGTGAACGTTCACCGGACCATCCCCGATGCCTATTAAGTGCCATTTCTCATGGGACTACTTCCATCGGGAGTCATCGGGAGAAACTTTATTTATTTCACATCGCCGATGATTTTTCCTCAGAGGGACCTAGGCATATTGGGTGTCTATCCCTTGTTTAGCAATTAACAATTCGTTATATCATTATTATTTTCGCTTTCTTCGTTTTTATACATGGGAATATCGTGTATGTCCGTCCGTTGGCCCATCCTTACGCTCTAAAGACTAAAGTTATTACCCGAATGTATACAGTGTTTATGTTCATGAGTCGAAGAAATGAAATAAAATGAAATGGGGTTTAACGTCCTACTGTTCTGCTCCTATACGCCATACAGTATGCTATGACGGAAATTTTGCCCGGGCAGCGGCACTATACCCTACTTTATATCGAATTCCAACTGCCAAGGGATCTTTTACGTGCATTCTAATGTATACGCAAAACCGTGGCGTGCACGTAAAGTATCCCTTGACAGTTAGAATTCGATATAAGAATAGACCGTAGTGCCGCTGTCCGGGCAAAATTTCTTTCATAGCACACTGTATGACATGCCCGTCTTCATTAGCCCAGTTCGGAGCAGAACAGTAGGACGTTTAACCCCATTTCATTTCATTCTGTTCTAAAAATCTCGATTTTAGCTTGTGAACACTCTAGAGGTCATAATTTTCATCCGATTTTGATGAATCTTGAAATGCATGTTTATAACCCAAAGATCTTGGTTCCTTTTGATATTCGCGCATATCGGATCGTAACTTCCTGCATTATGGCCCTTGATTGTAGGAAAATTGCGTTTTTAGCTTGTGGTCCCTCTAGAGGTAACAATTTTGATCCGATTTAAACAAAAACGTTATCACCATTACACCGTAATGTCGGTTGAGTTCGAATTTCGTGAAAATCGGACCAAAACTGTCGTACAATATGGCCGCCCTTCGTACGTAAATAGTGTAAACATATGGTATATCAAGGTCGTGGACCCTCTAGAGGTAACAATTTTGATCCGATTTTGATGAAACTTGAATTATATGTTTATACAATATGGGATTGTAACGTACAAAACATCGCATTTTTAGCTTATGGTCACTCTAGATGTCACAATATTTATCAGATTTAACAAACCGTTTGAATATATCACCGTGACACCCTAATGATGATTGAGTTTGAATTTCATGAAAATCGGACTAAACCTGCTGGAGAAAATGGCCGCCCCCCCGCAAATAGTGTAAATATGGTATATCAAGATTGTATACCCTCTAGAGGCCACAATTTTGATCCTATTTTGATGGAACTTGAAATACATGTTTATAACCGAAAGATCTTGGTTTCTTTCGATATTCTCGCATATCGGATTGTAACTTCCTGAATTATGGTCTTTTATTGTATGAAAAATCGCGTTATAAGCTTGTGGTCCATCTAGAGGTCACAATTTTTATCCGATTTAAAAAGCCGTTTGAATATATCACTGTTACACCCTAATAATGGTTGAATTCGAATTTCGTGAAAATCAGACCAAAACTACCGGACAAAATGGCTGCCCATAGTGTAAATATATGGTATATCAAGGTTGTTGACACTCTGATTTTGATGAAACTTGAAATGTATGATTATGATCCAAGATCTTAGTTCCTGTCGATATTTGTGCATATCGGACAGTAACTTCCAGGATTATGGTCCCTGATTTTACGAAAAATCACGTTTTTAACTTGTGGACCCTCTAGAGGTCACAATTTTTATCTGATTTTATAAAACGTTTCAATGTATCATCGTTACTCCCTAATGACGGTTGTGTTCGAATTTCGTGAAAATCAGACGGAAACTGCCGGGCAAAATGCTCGCTCCGTGTACACGAATAGTGTAAAAGTATGTAATACCACGTTGTGGTCTCTTTAGAAGTCACAATTAATATTTATCCGATTTTGATGAAACTTACAATATATATTTATATCCCAAATATCTCAGTCCATTTCGATATTCGCGAATTTCAGACTATAACCTCCTGGATTATGGCCCCTGATTGTACGAAAAATCCCTTTTTTAGCTTGTTCTCTACCCATCGCTTGCAAAATGTGGGCGTATCTTGCCTGGCAACCGCTGGTTTAACTATATTTTCAAATTTCAGGCGATGGGTATGCCCGGTATGTTCTTTATTTTGACGACCTGGGGTCCTCCAGAGGAAAAGGGTCGTTTGCTCAGTATAATATTTTCTGGAAATTTTTTTAGTAATGTTTTAATATTTCCAATAGCGGGGCTATTATGTAGTTATGGATTTGCCGGTGGATGGCCTTCAATATTTTATGTATCAGGTAAGTTGTGAGATTTTTAAACCCATCGTTGTTTAAAATTTATATGCATCAACATCGATTAGGAATAAGTCCAGTTGTCAAACCCCATTCTACATGGAAATATAGTCCAACTAATGATTTTTTGGTGGATTATATATCTTCAATATGTGTAGATTCAGAATCCGATTGATGCCACCCTGGCACCCGTCAGGAAATTTGATGACGTTAATTGGCAAAAATATCATTTTGCTCTTCATTTTCAAACGTTTGAAAAAAGCTACTCCATGGTGGAGAATAGAAAACAAGGGAGGTAATTGATAGGTAATGGTGTTATTATTTCCTGTGTAAATGAGTTTTAAGTGTGAGAATGACACCTATGATCGTATAATTGTGAGTTGACAACCTACTGAGCAAAAGACATAGAAATAATTACGTTTTGACTTTCTTAGAAAATTTTCAATTTCCGCTGATTTGGAGATTCCCCTTTTAGTCATGAATTTGCGCCGTTTTTGATGATTTGTTAAGGTTGTCCCATGTTAAATATGTGCTAAGCTAGAAACACCAAGATATACCCTATATATAAACACCATTTAGTCTGTTATTCTAAAGAAATTTTGCGCCTGTACGGAGAAAACCCCACCGGCGATTTTTGGCGAGACATAACGATGTTAGAAATGTATTAAACTATAAGTTTTCGGATTTGCCGAATTCATATCTGAATGGCGAAATGTGTTTTGACTGAACGAAATGCCAGTATGGTTTCCAAATTCAACAAAATAACTACGTCTAGTAGACCGTTGAAGAAAATAGTACCGCTAATGTAAAAACTTGTATCACAGGACTAAAAGCACAAATTACAATGCCATACGAACAGAACTACGGAGAGCGAATTGTCAAGCATACACTATTATCCACCATGACACCTGTCCGTGTCACGTTCTCTACCAGAAAACAGATAGAGGGGAATAGGGGATGGAAAATGTTTGCCAGCGTTATACAAAACCCGAGTTTTATCGGCGCGTAAAAGTGACTCAATAACTGTCAAGACAAGGTTCACCCCCCGTTGCATGATATTCCAACGATTGCGGGTATTCCAATGATTCATGCGAGCGTAAGTTAGACTTATACGTGAGGTTGGAAAAACCTCAATTAGCTTTCATAAACATTTGCTTTCAACTCACGATGGCCCGAGTTGACCGCGAATATTGCGTGTCCTTATAAGAATACAAGGGTAAAAATATCATCGGAACATTGAATATAACCTTTCCCCAAGGATGCCGGGTGGCATCATCCGGATTTTGAATCTACACATATTGAAGATACATAATCAACCGAAAACCTATATATTACACGCCGTTTTAGGGAACATTGTATGTATTGATACCATATAAGTAAAAATTGATATCTTTTCAGTTAGGCTGACCCCCCCCCCCCACACACACACACCCACACCCACGAGCTCCTGAGCAACTGGTGAACATTTAGTGCAAATGAGAATAGTCCTGATCAGGCCTGATTGGTAATAAAACTAACATTGTGTAATATTTTCTCTTTTGAGTAATTGTCAAAATTAATTTCAGATACGTCTGTGTTAATAATAGCACCAGTGTCTAAAACAAAATTTAATCACTGCAATGTGTTTAATTATTGTGTCAAGCCCAGAATCGATAGCTGAATTATACGATGCCTTTCCTCCTTTTAAAGCAGTAACTAAAGGCAGTCGTATTTTTAAAATAATAAATTGATTATTTAAGGTGATCATGGTAACTATACAAAGCTCGCACTTTTAAAAAGAAATCTGTTCCCTTAAAGGGTACTGGAATCATTCCGAAGAAATAGAATTCAATTCGGGTAGAAAATTTCATCGATTCTCATCATATGCTCAGCCACTGGAACCTAGAAAAGGGTATATACTCTAAAATCCCATTTTTATACGCCCACATTGAAATGTGGTGGTATATTGTCGTCGCCCCCGTCGGTCCGTCGGTCCTGCGTCCACAATTGCTTGTGAACGCTCTAGAGGCTAAAGTTAATATCTGATTGACTTTAAATTTATACACAGTGTTTAAGGTCTTGAGACGAAGAATCCTATTGATTTTCAGCGATTTCCGATAATTACTGCCAGAGTTATGACCCTTGTTCACTTTGAAAAATCTTGTGACGCTCTTAAGGCTAAAGTTGTCATCCGATTGACTTCAGATTGATAACACAGAGTTTAAGATCTTGAGACGAACAAGTATATTGATTTTCAATGAATTTGTATGACTTGAACAGTTAAATCAATGATATTAAAAGCTTTGTATACAAAACGTCAGCATGGAGCAGAACTTTATAAAAATCAAACAAATTCTAATAGTTTTCTGATAATTACTTCGTGAGTTGTTGCTCTTAATCAGATTTTAGTGTATTATGAATGTTTCATTACCGAAAAAAGTAAAAATATGCGACAACTCTTTTTGACTAATCGGACGATTTAGCTGCTGTGGGCGTATGTTTCGTTGCCTGGCAACCTATCTTTGGAATAAATATGTAATATTACCGAACATGACAGCAACCATCAAAATTCTTCGTATCGTATGTAGTGAAGATAGAATACCAATTATGTTCACATTATTTTTCAGGAATCGCTAATCTTATTTGGTGTGTATTCTGGTATTTCATCGTCTTCGATTCTCCATTGACACATCCAAGTATTCACCCAAAGGAAAAAGAATACATCATAGCTAGTCTTAATTTAACCGCGAAGTCATCAGCAGAGCGGGTATTCTATAGGCCTATAATATAGGTTATTTCATGTTTTTATACGCTAATATATAGTATTAACCCGTCTGTCAGTATATCCCTCCTGCTTAGATTCTGGAGAATACAATTATGAAACTTTTACACATGGATGGCTTAGCTATATTTTTGTAAGTGAATAATCCTATTTAATTTCAACGATTTCCGACGTTGGCTGAAACATTTATACCCCTTTGTAACGGAACTATGTAAACAATTTATTTATTTGAAATTTGTATCGACCATTGAGCGTTTAACACCTTAAGTTTTTCTGTAATAACGCTTTATACCGCTTTAGCATTAATGGACGCTACAATATCGTCCCTCCTTTTTGAATGTATTTCATAATAAAAACAGTAATATTGGGACGGTTTCCAACATCGTGGTGTAGCAATCTATGCTTTTCCAAACGATTGAACTTATAAATTTTATAATAACTTCACAATAACCACTTTGTACAAGGAATTTAATGATGTTATTTAATTGGTATTTGACACAGCACAGTATTTACTGATGAATTGACAATTAATGATTATATTATGGGCGTTTAGACAAATTATAGAACATACCATTAAAATCTAATAATGTACGTGTTATATTAACAACTTTTTACAAAAACAATCTGTAATTTGTTATATCCTAGAACATTCTAGAACATACAATACGTTCTATACAGGACCATTAAAAATGTATAAATGAATATTTGGTTTAACGTCATACTTTTCTACACCAACCGTGCTATTGAAGACTGCCATACGCCGTACAGTGTGCTATGGGGGAATTCCAACTGGACCCCTTTTTTGTCCCATCCGAACGACTTGGCACTTTTCCTTGGCAGGCACTCCGTGCTGCTCCAGATGCCCAGGTTAGTGAGTTACAGTAATTCACAAATGTAAAGGTGATAAAATTTCCAAGCGTTGTGTTTAGAAACAACACAGCGTTTACTGTTTACTCGTTATTGTTAGTATTTACTTTTACAGAAATCACGAAAAGGAGCCCCATGGCGCCATATATTTACATCATTACCAGTTATATCCGTCATATGTGCCCAGTTTTCAATGAACTGGGGGATGTATTTAATATTATCAAGTCTACCTTTGTATATGAGAGAAATACTCAAGTTCGATGTGAAATCTGTAAGTATATCTTACAAACAAACCTACATTATGGCAACGCTAACTTGATACATGATACATTGTGTCAAAGAGACTTTTCCTCAGTCAACTTCTAAGGGGTACGGAAAGGAATAGTATTATACACGTACTTACATTTAATAATGGGGTATTATAAAGACACATAATTTGATAAGTTTTGTTTAGGTACAAGACCGTCTCTTTTTTATCAGACACAAGCAATCTTATTTTACATGACTATAGCCCCAGGAAATTATCTTGGTTTGGGTATTTATAATTACTAATATCATTGAATACATAAACATATAACACAATATTAATGCTATAAAGTATGAATTTTGTATTCTTATTCATAATCTTCATACACATGATACCACATCTCGTTTGATGAATTCATATAGCTAACACACCTCTGTTGTACTTTTTCATTGTAAACTGGTGTTATACCGGCAGTTAGATGAAATGTGGTCGTATATTGTCGTCGCTCCCGTCCGCCCGTCCGTCCGTCCGTCCGTCCGTCGGTCCCTCAGTCCTGCGTGCACAAGTAATTTGAAAAATCTTGTGGACGCTCTAGAGGCTAAAGTTAATATCCGATTGACTTTAAATTTAACACAGTGTGTAATGCCATGAGACGAAGAATCCTATTGATTTCCAACTATTTCTGATCAGAGTTATGGCCCTTGATCACTTTGAAAATTTTTGTGGACGCTCTAGAGGCTACAGTTAATATCCGATTGACTTTAAATTTATACACAGTGTTTAGGGTCATCAGACGAAGGAGCCTATTGGTTTTCGACGATTTCCGTTAAATACTGCCAGAGTTATGACCCTTGATCACACTGAAAAATCTTGTGGGTTCATTAGAGACCATAGTTATCATCTGATTGATTTTATATTTATACACCCTGTTTACGCCTACACATAATCGTTTCTTTTGACTTTAGATTGATACACAGAGTTTAAGGTCTTGATACGAACAAATATATTCATTTTCAATGATTTTTGACAACTTGAACAGCTAAATCCATGATGTTAAATGTTTTGTATGCTAAACGTTAGTATGGGCCAAACAAATTCTAATGATTTTCTGATAATTACTTAATGAGTTGTTACTCTTAATCAGATTTTAGCGTATTATAAATTTTCATTACCGACAAAAGTAACTGCCCGGACGATTAAGTTGCTGTGGGCGTATGTTTCTTTGCCTGGCAACCTATCTTTGACTCTATAACTCAATATACAATGAATGATTTCTGTTTATTTTATTTTTAAGAATGGTTTATTTACGATGCTGCCTTTCATATCAATGTGGTTTGTATTATCTCTATCTGGAATGGCATCTGATTGGACAAGTAGACGGTTTGGTTTAGCTGTTGCTCGTAAATCAGCCACCGTAGTCGGTATGTTAAATCGATAATTATACTGTCAAATTAACACCACTATAGTATTATAATTCTAAAGTGTTCTAAAATAGAGCTGTTGCTCGTAAATCAGCCACCGTAGTCGGTATGGTATGTTAACTCGATAATTATACTGTCAAATTAAAGGACAATATTGGTGTCAGTCATTATCGCTTAGTATTAAACTCAGTAATTGTGTATCCATAAAATGGTACCTTATTGATATAGTAACGATTGGATATTTCAATGTGAATTTTAATTTCACAAAATCAATGTTGTGTTCAATGCTAAATTTGCATTAATTGATGGCTATATATTATATTGGACGATGGCTACTCATCTTGTGCTCATCGATTTGCGGACTTTCCAGTTCTGAGATGGCTCCTTTGACGGCAAACTGGGTTTCTTATCCACATAGTACTATCGTACATGTACTTGTAAATTGTATTCGATACAATTGAAAACTGTCTTCTGTTTTTTACGTTTTCAGGTCAAGTGATTCCAGCTATTTTATATATAATAGTTAGTTATTTAGACTGTGAATCAATTCCTTTAGTTATGGTGCTGCTGTGTATTTCCATTGGGCTGATGGCTGCTAACTTTGTTGGTCCAATAGTTAACTTCTTCGATATAGCTGGAGAACATGTTGGCCAAGTAATGACATTAAGCAACACGATTTCCAACATTCCAGGGATACTTACACCATATATTGTAGCAGAATTTACTAAAGACGTAAGTGCATTGATAATGCGAAATTTATGTATTTGTTCCCCCTTCTCCCTTTTCTTATTCAGTCTGTGCTTAATAAGAACTTGGTAATGTACGGGCATTTTTTATTTTCGTGTTTTCTCTTATCTGGTGACAGCTAATTCTTTTTTTGGAATTGTCAGATATCCCCTCGCAGTGTCATGTAACAACTTTTCGTCTTCAACGGAATTATCAGTGAAATGAAATTCGACCGTGTGTCTCTATCGCTCGTTACTTCAGTCAGTTATATAGAAGAATAACTCGTGTTTGTCATTTTTGGCATCACTTCCCTTTTTTTTCAAATGTTCGTTACGCATCTACCGTAGCAATGATCTCTGTGTTAAAATTATATTTGGAATGTGTTTAACCAGTTCTATCACATATGTGATAATGACTGACACCAATATTGTCCTTTAAGAATATAAAAAGTCACGGTATGGAAAAATCCTACGCCAAGATTATCGCCATGACTCATTTATTACGAACGCTGTGTGTTCTACCTTATTTTTATCAGATAATTGTGACATATTTGGCTTTTGTGAGTAAAAAGATTATAATAGATTTTAAAGGTCAATACGTAGGCTGAATGTAATATTGAAGTCATTGAAGAAACTAACTGTTGTGTGATTTCACAATGCTTTAAATGTTTTATTCTTTACTTATATTTTTCAGAATACTAGAGAGCAGTGGCAACACGTGTTTTTTCTTACAGCTGGACTCATGTGTTTTTGTAGTTTGGTGTTTGTTGTGTTCAGTAAATTCACGCCGCAACATTGGGCGGTAGAAATAACAGTAGAACCAGAAGAGAATGAAACATTAAATGAATTATGACAACTGTAATGGACATAAATATCTATATATATTCGTATAATTGTGAATGCCTGAACGAATGGTGTAAATGATATAATGCGTGTTTCAATTATCAGTTCAATGTGAATGTAAAATAAAAAAATGTATTCAATCATAAAATCTAGGATCAAACAAAATTTTTATTCACCCATTTTTATACGCTGAACTTCCGGGCGTCCGTCTGTCTGTCCGTCCACAATTTGTTTATGGACACTCTTCAGGTCTCAATTCGTATCCGCTTTTGACAAAACTTGAAATACAGGTTTATCTCCAAAAGATCTCAGTTCTTTTCGATATTGACATGTATCGGATCGACACTTCATGGATTATGGCCCCTGATTGTACGAAAAATCACTTTGTTAACTTGTTGACACTCTAGAGGTCACAATTGATTTGATGAAACTTGAAATGCATGTTTATAACCCAAAGATCTTGGTTCCTTTCGATATTTGCGCATATCGAATCGTAACTTCCTGAATTATGGCCCCTGATTGTACGAAAAATCGCTTTTTTAGCTACTGGTCCCTCTAGAGGTAACAGTTTTTATCCGATTTCAAAAACCGTTACCTATATTACCGTTACACCCCAATGTCGGCTGAGTTCGAATTACGTGAAAATCGGACCAAAACTGCCGGACAAAATGGCCGCCCCTCGTACGCAAATAGTGTATTTATATATATGGTATATGAAGGTTGTGGACCCTCTAGAGGCCACAGTTTTGATCTAATTTTGATGAAATTTTAAATTTATGTTTATATCACAAAGATTTTGATTCCATTTGATAATCGCGCATATCCGAACGTAACTTTCTGGATTATGGCCCCTGATTGTTCGAAAAATCGCATTTTTAGCTCGTGGACCCGCTAGAAGTCACAATTTGTATTCAATTTTAAAAAGCGGTTAAACATATCACCGTTACAAATCAGTGAAGGTTGAGTTCAAATTTCGAAAAAATCTGACTCAAACTGCCGGCCATAATGGCCGCTCCTTGTACGCAAATAGTATAATAGTATGTAATACTAAGGTAGTCACAATTTTTATCCGATTTTGATGAAACTTAAAGGAGCTAAATAGCTAATATTTGGGGCCTAGATATTGACAAGAAATGGGTAGCAACGCATATAATAATGTAATCTGAATGTATATAAACTGATTTACATTCATCGTTTCCATTTTTATTCTAATTTCAAATCAGTTATGTTTCGGCGAGATACACCAAAAGTCTCAATTGAGTGGCAATCTCTAGCGTCTGGTTATTCCAGTCTATTGCGCATGCTCTCCAGATAAGAATATTGCTTTTAGCTTCCAATGAAAGCCATAAAGGGGAAACGAGAGAGAACTTGGGTTTAACGTCCACTCAACACAAACTAGGTCATTTCAGGACTAACATAATTATGGTTCAATTTTATGTCAATAATTCACCTGCACGTAGGTTATTTAGCAGTGGGAGGAAATAGATACAGGAGGGTACGTAAATTAATTACGGAATTCTATTCTTCCATAGTATGTGTGACTTGATAATTGCGACGGTCACTTACCACTATAACGTCTGCATGCACGTACAAAGCGTGAATTTGGAGACTTCTGGCGACCTCGCTGGAAAAATGAAAGTGTGTATATTTTCGAAAAAATACTACAGAGCTTCATACAGTTGCACCGGACTAGGATAACGGTCTGGAAAGTTCTTTCACCAAAGAATAACCAGTTTTATTAACTAAAATAATTCAAGGACTTCCCCTTTAATGAAGCTGGTTCTATTTCGCTTCATCTATGAGAAGGCGCAAACAGAATTTATAACTAGTATATTTAATCTCGTCTAGACAAAGAGATTAGCATTTAATCGGCACGCTTTTTGGCCCCTCATATATTATGAATCTGAAATCATAATGAATACTTAAAGGCACTAAACGCCATTCGCATTTTTGTGACAATATATAATATTCCATGGCTTAATCCAGAGAAGAACCCAAAACATGTTCAAAGGTAGGATTTATATCTGAAACTTTAAGATGAGATTCACAAAATACATATTTCATATTATAAATATACACTAAACCAAAAATACTTTTTTAACAACAAATATATGCATGAACTATATCCAAATTTAACAAATAAAATAAAACATACGTAGAAATATCAACATCTATTAAAATTTACGAAACAATATTTCATGACTAACAACAAAAATAGCACAATATACCAAATACGTGGTTTGATATATATATATTTATAATATTGATGACACAAATGAGAATGGCAAGTGAGGGTAAACACCCTGGCAGTCACTCATTGACCAATACTGTTTAGAAATAAAGTATTATAACTGTCTGTTGTTATTTTTATCATCTGTGAGAAAATATACATGTTTTTTTAAAGGTAAAATATTAATATGTGATATGCGTTGGGGAATAGCAACAAGCCAATGAATGTCAAGTATAAAAAACAAAAAAAAAACTTTGATTAAATGAAAATTATATCGGTTTCAAAAACTGTGATTAAAATGAACAATAATTCTATCAGTTTTAACAATCTTTAAGAGGCATTTAGTAACTAGTTTTAACAACTTTGATTAAATGAACAATAATTCTATCAGGTTTAACAACTTTGATAAAATGAACAATAAATATACCAGTTTTGAAAACTGCATGTCACCGGTAACTCCGTCGTTACAATTGCCTATTGTATTATCAGGCTATTCAATAGCACCAAAATTGTATGATACTTATGCACTCTACGCAATATACCATATACCATTAAATGTCAAATAGAAGAGATTGGTCGAACGCTGCCGATTTGATTCTGATATAAGGTCTATTGCCTTACCGAGAACTAATGCCTTCATGTTGTCATTAATTCCCGATATTTCTTTGAATTAGCTTTACTTACCCCTAGACTGCGCGTAAGGAAGGTTATGCTTACACCGCCCGTTATCGAAACGTAAGTCCATGTATTTTACATGTGAATGTAATATTATAAGAAAATAAATCCTCACACAATAGGAGAAACTTGTACCTGCACACTATGTGTCTGGAACCGAGCATGACCTCATCGCCGAATCTTGGCGTCTGTCAATCGATGCACACAAGGAAAAAGCATGCTGAATTTCATGTTCTTTAATTGTCGGAGAGCATCGACCCTAAGAACAAGAAGAACAACGAGATAGCAATTGGGGCACAATTCCTGGTCCAAAAATGTTTTCTTTCTTTGTAATGTATGGTACATGATTTAGACCACCTCTTTGCTGCTACCATTGACTTTCGTATGTATATCGTCATCCTTATTCGTATGGTTGCTGTGGTTATTTTCTGTGTTTTCTTCCTGTATAGAATGCAACGAAAGAGCCAATCTTTCATCCATGTTGCCTAATTCCATGTCCGTGGTATGTTCAATATGACCCCAGGACTGAACTTCACCTTCACCAAGAATGACAAAAATTAGAGCACCAAAGGTATAAACACCGGCTGCTATATAAAATGTAATTAACCATTCTTCTCGGGTTCCCTGAAAGAAAGAATATACATTTAATCCCGTATAGTTTATACATAATAAGGCATTAAAAAGAAGGCTTTCTTTTACAGATTTTGTTATATATGGGCTATGCTGGACTGCCTTAAGTCAGTCCACATAACTTAATGGAGGCTGAACGTAATGAGGTGACGAACAGATCTACCAATAGTACTACTATTTATTTCCGCTCATTTCTACCTAAATGGTCGATTCCACGGATGGTGTTCCTAAAGGGCCAAGCCCCACCCCCCTCACTCCAAGACCCCCACCCCCTGCCAAGTCGCCCCCTCCCCCCAACTCTTTCAATAATTACCACATCCTACCTTGACTAAGTCCACATATACATTGTATTTATGAAAGTCACCAAAAACAATTTATATCAATATAATGACGTACGTTTTTAGTCATAGCTCCAACAATATATGGCGCCAGAATACCAGGAACAGTGGCTACTGTGTTTGATATTCCAAATAATGTCCCTGCAAACGGTGGTGCTATGTCACTATGATTGATAAAATGCCCACTGAAATGAACTCCACATACACCAACTGCTATAGTTAACATGGCCACGGCTGCCATTTTCTGATCACATTCCATATAACCAGTTCCTATCAGGAATATTCCTGGGACAATGGTACCTGAAAAACACCAAAAAGCCCCAACATCAAAATTCAATATGCTGGATTGGCTCACAATACTCAAGTCTCAACATCGAAGGACAAAACTTCAAGAGATTCAGTTTAAGGTCTAGTTATATGTGCTATACAGACACCCGGGTCGTAAAATATTCAGACATTATACCCAGTTCTCCAGTTAATAATGTGTTTATAATTGCGATACAAATTTAAATACTGAATATTATTACCTATGCACGTCATTATTTTTCTAGTTTTAGATATTGATAGTATTTCTCTTTTGATAAGGAAATCGGCAGTAGTTCCGGATATTAGAATAAACAGCCAAAAACATAAATACGGCAGCATGGAGAATACACCATTCTGAAATTGAAAAGAATACAGGTCAATGAACGTAAACCAAACAGACCCTTGTCACATTATTTATTATTTCATTTAATGTCAACTAAAGCTTAAAAGATTAGCATATATTAATCAAACTAGACTAGATACATTCTTTCAAAAATGTTTAAACTGACATGGCACCACTAATCTTCCGAAAGTTTAAGTTTACGTAGAATCACCCACTGGGAAACACTGTTCAGGGTCACATAAATTGAAGATCATCAGGATCGGTCTGCCCAAAACCTGCACCATGTGTTTTCTTTTATTCACAGAAAGTTTACATGTCTTAAGTTTGAATTAAGAAAAATGAAATTACCGCTTTAATATCAAATTTTAAAACTTCCTTCATGTAAGTAGGGATCTGTGTTAACAACATGTAGATACCATAATTACCGCAAGCATGTGCTACAATAATCGCCCACACTGCTTTAGACTTGAATATTGATGACCATGGAGTTTTGTGATTCTGAAAAAAAAAGGATCCAAAATTTTATGTAATCCTGCCATGTCAACTAATTCAAAAATCTCTTAAGGATTGTAATAAATCGTAAGGCTAATTTGATCTAATGCCAAGATGTTGGCACTGTTGAATAAACAACTCACCCTTTTAAATGATTCTTGCTTTACACCCAGAGAATGCTGTATATAATCTTTCTCTATAGTAGATATAGTTGGATGGTCACCGGGTGAATCATGGGCAAATATACACCATATTACTGTCCATATAAACCCTACTGAACCTGAAAATAATATATACACCATATTACTGTCCATATAAACACAACGGGGCCTGAAATAATATATACACCATATTACTGTGCATACTGAACCTGAAAATAAAATTTTTTCTCTCAATATAAACCCTTCTGAACCTGACAGAAAATATACACAATATAATTATTACTGACCATATAAACCATACGAAATACGAAAAAAAAACCAAACAGAAACAAAATACACATCCTATTATTACTGTTGTTATAAAGCTTCGCAGGTGAACTGGTGATTTTTGACCAGGATTAATTACATAAAGTTTGATTACCTATGACGTAAAATACTGAAGGCCATCCGCCATCAAACCCATAGTGACATAAAAATCCACCAATAGGAAATATTAAAGCATTACCAAACTGTCCACCTGAAATGATACAGAAAAAATAAGAGGTTTCACCAGATCCGGGCTTTCATTGTTATTGACGATATGGATGTTTTAGGAATTTAAGGTGACACAGATTTTTCCGTTTGGTTTTGTTGAGTATTTTCTTTAGTTTTGTTCATATAAACTGTATTTGATTTATTTACCTGCATATGAAAGTCCTATAAGACGACTTCTTTCATTGGGTGGAGCCCATCTGGCCCATAATGCCTGTGCTGCTGGATACATTACAGACTACGAAAGACAGGATAACTTTATTATCAAACTCGGAATAAAAACCATTAGTATTCAGTGAAAAAATTGGTACACATATTACATTGATTTCTACTGATTTCACACCACTATCTTCATGTTTCATAGACAGATATAGTAATAATAATCATACCATCTTTTCGTACCATCTGGCTCATTCTTTTTGTTTGTATTAATAGTAATACTAGGGGTTGTTTAACTACATAATGGCAGTAGACTTTACTTTAAAATAAATATAATTGTCCGAGATATGAAAAACAGGACAAAATATTATAGCACATTAATGGCGCGATGTTATAGGCTAAATGACAAATTATGACCATCTAAAGGGGGGCTTATGTCAACCTTACAGTTAAGAGCAACTGGCGTTTCGGCAACTTTGAGCAACTCGCTTCAACTGAATGGAACTGAAAAGGGTCGACCTGGGCGCCTCTTACAACTCAACACTACTAGTTCCAGTCAGTTGCCCATGTTTAACTTCTAGCTGCGCTCTTACAACTGGCGTCAACTCGTTTCCATGGAAATAACACCATGTGACGAGAGACATGTGTCATATGACGTTATAAATAAGTAAAATGGAAACAAACGAAGATATCCACATTTCAAATGTTGACGAGGCCGACAATAATGTATTAATTGAATTGTGACAAAACCGACCATTCCTTTGGGGTGCTTCTTCCAAGGTATTCGCCTAATTGTTGATCACCTGGTGATTAAATTAACGGTCACGTCTTAAACAGGCATTATGCAAGAACTAAATCTGCCTATTGCAGGTCTTTCTTTAGGCCTGAAATGTTGCCTAAATTATTAATTAGACATTAATTAACGTATCAAGACCATAATCAACTCTCGATGTCATCGGATGCCTGCGATATTTAGTGAATTCAAATACGTTTTGTGCTAGATACGGTACCGTAAAATTGGATAATCGAGACTTTGTTTATTATCGTTACAACGGTATTAATGACAATCGAGGCTAGCCTATAACTATATCGCCGATTCTTTGGCTCAGAGGGAAGTAATTTGATTGAAACTTTTCAAAATATTCTCTTTTTATTATCTATTTTTAGCTATTATAGCGAGAACTGTAAGCTCTTAATCTAATATTACCTAATGCCGCTTTAAGTGTAATCGCTAGCAGTTCCGAGTTGACATGAGAGTTCCGAATTAAGTTGTTCTCAGTTGTCCTCGGTTGCTGATATGATCGACATAAGTACACATGAAACTGACTGGAACTAGTTGCTTTGAGTTGCAGTTTTTCTAAATTTCAATATGGAAATGTACCGATCTGTCGGTGCACATAGCAGCTTTAGTACAAATCAGAAGTAGATAATATAAATAAAAAATTACATCGACACACCTCACCTATTCCTACGATGATCCTCACAAATATAAATAAATACGGACTGGCGCGAGCACTAATTGGACTCAAAATATTCAAGATGGCCACCGGAAACATTCCTATAGCTATCACTTTCTTAGCTCCAAATCTTTCACTCAACCAGCCACCAGCAACTTGTAATGATAAATAACCCCAGAAGAAAGATCCCAAAATTAACCCCTGTAGTTCTTTGTTCCATGTAAATTCACCAGGCTGAAATACAGACACGAAACAATTATTCGTTAAATGCAAATAAACATTTTAAAAGCATAAATAAATAAATAACTATATGCAATACCAATTATTTAGCTTTTATTACATCAATTAAGCAAATTGCAAATTTGGCCACAATTTTTTTAATACATCATGAAAAGAAACTGACTAGACTATTTAATGGATATATGCTGCAAACACAACATATTTCAGTGTCATCGTGGCACTGTCAAGCTGTTAAAAATAACATGCCATGTACATAAAGATGAGAAATGGCTATTGTCATAACACTAATTTTTAATTTTTTTGGCGATGAGTTATTTCACGACAAAATGCTATGATTAAATTCGTTATTGCTAGAAAAGGGCATTATTAACAAAGAACAACTTACACTTGAATGACTAGACAAAGCCTCTGGACACTTCGTCTGTGTCGTCAAGTTGATGGTCATGCTTGAGTTTAGGTAAAGATAAGAATTATTGTCACGGGGTTCAAGTTTGCCACTATGATCTACCATAGACACAATGGCAATACTCAGATTAACCCTCTGGGAATAGAGACATAGAAAACCAAAGAAACATATCACCGCCAGCTGGAGACGTTTGGAGGTCCACCATGGTACTGTACAAGAAAAAGATAGCTAAACATAGAATAAAACATTGCAACAATTACAGCTAACTTTGTGCTAACTTTTTAAAGTTTTTACTCGGAGACCTACAACAATTGCCCTTTCCGTTTCCAGGATTGGTTATATCAACCATTTACAATTGAATATAAGTACCTGTCTCAGAAGATATATTTCCTATTTCCCTTTATTAGTAAACAATGCCAGTTGGAATCTGGTATGGTTCCCAAAAATGGCGTGTGTATCCCATCCTTCTGATTGTATAATTTTGATAACCCCTTTGATTAATGTAAATTTTAAATAGCAAAATAGTAACTTTAATGGCCATCACGTCGTTTTGGATTTCTGACACTTTATAAATGCATTTTTACATTACATACATGTCTGTTCTTTGTCAGATATTACAATCTTTATTAAATAGAAACTGCACAGAGAAATTTATTTCTACCTATTGATAGATCAATATGATCTGGAAAGGGTGGAAGATCTTCTTTATGTAGAGGAGCGTTGTGATGAGACAGATCAAAACTTGAACTTCGTCTCTGGTTTAAATATCTCCGCCTTAAGGAGGCATTAGATTCCTGGCTACTGGAGGAAATAGTCCTGGTTCTGTCTTTAACTCGACTGAAAACATAAACAGAAACAAGTCATATCTCCGGAAATTCAGCGGTTGTGCTAAACGTAATAACGAATATCAGCCTTAAACATACATTATGCAAGAGCTAAATCTGTCTATTGTAGATCTTTCTTTAGACCTGAATTGTTATCTAAATTATTAATTAGACATTAATTAACTTTTCCAGACCATAATCAACTCTCGATGTCATCGCTAGCCTGCGATGTTCATCAATGGATAATTGAGACTATGTTTTTATCGTACCAACTTAAGTAATGATAATCGAGGCTAGGCCGAAAATTCAATCGCTAAAATCTCGGTTCAGAGTTGATCAATTTGACTGAAATTTTCAGCAAATCGCCTTTACATTATGTGGTTTTTAACTATTAAAGTGAGAACTGCTAGCTCTTTATCTAATCTACCATAATGTATATTTAATATACTGATGTTGTCCAGAGTCTTATGAAATTCTTACAAAACTATTTCTCTCTACAAAATAGGATCACAAAAATTTCGAATGTAACATTACCTTAATAATGTCGCTTTATCAGGAGACTTTGTCGGTTTCTTTACTATTGGGGAATTTGTTGGGGCAACTTTAGGTATGTTTTCATTTGTTTCTGGATTTAATTGTGTACTTTCAGAATTACTTTTGCTATCAACTGTATCATTTTGGTTATCCATCTTGCAATATCCGGAAACTACTATTCTAAAATAAAAAACATGGAGAACCCCGAAGAAGATTTTCAAACTATAGGATACCATTGTAAATGGCTAATGTTGCTTGTCGATGATGTTACTTTTTTTTCTTCTTTTTTTTTGGGGGGGGGGGTATCATAAAGGGGGCCAAGCAGTCTTGTGGGCCATATTTATCCCAAGTCGATGCATGTAGGTTATGTCGAATTTAAGTGGTCACATCATCGTAGAGAGTTCTGTCGGGACGCGATCGTAAACTGACTTCATCATACAGTTATAAAATCCCAGACACATTATAAGATATTTTTTATGTGATCAGAATTTTAAAATATAATGGGAGTTGAGATACAACCCTTTTAACATTTGGTACATATTATGAAACAGTTTCTTGATCCGTTTAGTTTGTGAGATGAATAGGGGTTTTACATGGTAAAGAGTGCGTGACATGCCAAAAGAACAAAAGTCTTAAAGAATGTTGCACCCTTCGTCTAATCAAAGCGTGTATTTGAACATCCAAGGTAAGCTATGAAATACAACGAGTTTAAGGATATAACCTAACCGCAAATGCATGACATGACATTTTAAGTAATACTGTATGCTGTTGAGTAAATGTTTAAAGTAGCAATTCACGAAATAAATTTTAAAAGGAATTTTGTCATGAAAAATCAAGAATGCCACTCGATCAGATAGGAGACAGTTTAACGAAAGTAGCGGATTTCAGTTTCAAACCATTTTCTAAACGTTTAACAAACAAAAGATTCCCGAAACTATTGCGTCATATCACAAATGCGTTATTTGCTATCCCTTTAAGTATCTTATTATTACACAAGAAGGAAACCCCTGTTAATCACGAGGAAACTGTATCGTAAATATTTAGAAAGTTCACAAATAACGTTTGATTTTCAACTACGATTACACATACATACAGCTGGTCTGAGATTTATAGAATCAAAGAACCCCGCACTTCCAGGTAGACAACGTTAAACCACCTGGCATAGAGCACGCGGCAAACATCATCTGTTGCAATCTGACGAAATACAGATGACGATCCATTAGATCAATATTGAACAGATATCTGTATTAACAGTAATATATAATGTATACATTAATCTTAAATTTATTTGACGTATACGTAAATAATAATAGATTATATTTAATTCATAATTAGTAACGGGTCTGACTTATAATGAAAACGGTATAGTAATGGAACGAGTATATAATAAATAATCAAATGATTTGCTATCACGCACAGCTTTATATTAATAAATATTACACGGAAAAAAACTACATGTATATTTCATTGAGTAAACGAGGTCTATTATAAAATAAATTAATTGTATATTATTGAAATATCGATACACTGGTATAAATCATCCGTGACACATAATAAATTATAATTAGGAGGAAATAAACAGAAATTGTGTTTAAACACTCACCCTTTGGTTGTTATCTAGAATTCTATAACGAGTTATTATGTTGTTTCACAGACTACAACGCAGACTCATAACAGGAATTAGCTATCTCCGGTAACTAGCTATATAAGGATGTGTATGAAATCCTGACGGTGATTGCGAATAAAACCGACCTTCACAAGGTCTTTTTGTTCGTCTGCTGTAGAAGCTTCAAGGTCACCTGAATGTCATAATTGCCCGAATAGCCAGAATGTACGTGAGATTATACAGAGTTTAAACCAGCTTTGTAACATAATATAGTCTATGCAGTGGGTTTTTTAAATATAACATATTGAATATATGAATGAATAAAGTGCATAACTTGCCTTTTTGTCCTGAATGTGGGTCTCTTCTTAAGTTGACAAACAAACTTGTCACCAAATGCACATAGGGTGCTTTTTCTTCTACCAAAAAATATAAACTCAACCAACCGTATCTGTTCTACTTAGCAAATTAAAGTGACATATCTGTTTCAACTCAGTGATCCAATCTTTTTATCTGTGAATTCTCATTTATTAATACGTTTTGCATTGTCTATTGATTTTCTGGTAATAATTGATATAATGGTATGGGGTTGATTTATTATTAGGGTTTCACACTGCGTAGGTTGTGTTAAACCCTATTATTTTTGTATGTGTAACGATGACAATTTACAACATTTTTCATTAATTTCACCCAATTTATATGGCAAAGCACAAGCGAAATTAAGGAAGAACGATGGTGATATTAGACATCCCACAGTTCTTAAATTACTAATATTGTTATTAATTCGAGAAACAAATATTTTAATGAAGTACAGGCATGCTATACTTTGGCCGTTTCTAGCTTACTGCTATACAGAAATGAAAAGGAGTTTTAATGCCCCACTGTTCTGCACCGCCTACTGACAGTGTTGCAATATAAGTTATTGTGTGGGGCCACAGTTGGTTAATGAGTAAGACGTTGACTCGCTAACCGGAAGGTCTCGGATTCTCTCCAGGTGTTGGCAGAGAAAGTTCATCCGTGCTGCTGGTCAGAGGGCCTGGCATGGCATGGGGCAAAAAAAAAAACCACGAGGTCACGTGTACATATTTGCGTGCATGTAAAATAACTCTTGATAGTTGGAATTCGAAATAAAAGTATACCGTAAAGTATAATTTCCCAAATAGCACTCTATGCAGTGTATGCCCGTCTTCATTAGCACAGTCGACGCAGAACAGTAGGATGTTAAACCATATTTCAGTTCATTTTCATTTCTGTTATGGTGCCTTTTGGTCGGTTGATTTGCTGGACCAGGGGAAATACGGAGCTGGTTGCCAATAGCTTTCTCTTATTTACATAATCTCTTCCCTAAAATCGATATTGTTTCTTTCCTTTGCCCACTCATTATGATAAAAATAGAACCTACCGAGATCGGAATTAAAATCCGTTTCTAAGTACCTGCATAACAGTTTGATTTCTGTTAGCAACCAACACAGTATCACCAATTTATATTTAATTATCTAATTATGTGAAAGCTTTAATGCTGAAAAAGAACTTATCTCTACATCTTTAATATAAAAACAACTAAATCACTTAGATTGAGGTAAAAATAAGGGGGGGGGGGGTAATCTTTGTTAGGTAAGATTTGGGACATTGGGACATAACATCGGTAATAATTTAATATTACGGTGCACTTGCTCCCATTCACCTAATAGTATAGAAATGGTTCCACTACTGATGTCTTCCGCCTTACTACAGCCACAGTAGTGGCTCGTCCTACAAGTTTTTTAGTCAAATCACTACAAAAAGGTTACTGGCCTATAGCTCCCTTAATTTACACATAAACTGACCCAAAACAGTACTGCACCTACTGCACTATGAAGCTTTTCAGAAATGCCTAGCTCATTTTAATCCATGTGGCAATGGCAGAGAAATAGTCCCACTCTGACTTGGCTGCGACAGATGGCGACGAATTGCGAACGTCATTCACGTTTCCAAAATGTCTCGTAACGTTCGCGGAACTTCAACTCCACTATGGAATAGAAACATTGCAGTTGTCAAGGATCACGGCTAGGCGTGCGACTGGTTCTGAATTCAACTCCTTTCAGGCAGTGTCATCAGTTCCCACAATGTCGCTAAGATGAACACCTTGACGTTACAGGCTTACATGTTGCGTCTTCAACTCGACACAAATTATGTCATTTGGATACTACATGCCATGGTTCAAATTTATTTCAATAATTCTCTTACGCATAGGGGTCTTTAGCTGTGGGATAAAACCAGAGGACCCGGGAATAACCGACAGGCGACTCTACGCCTTGTCGTCCAGTCAATTTGTGGTTTGACCTAAACAAAATTGCAACAGAATTTCTGTTTGCTGCAAATAGCTCCTCAAACTGTCCTGGACAACTTATTAAAAATGTAGATTAATATAAGCGAGGGAACATTTTTAAATGACATAAATCTAAGATGACCGCCCTTCGCCATATTGTCAATCAACTTTACGTTGTATACATAGTATCTTGGGCACAATTGTTCAAAAGTCAACTTTACGTTGTATACATTGTATCTTGAGCACAATTGCTCAAATTAATAGTTCAATCCGTATTATAATTCCGTCGGGTTTTCGTTTAGAAATCGTGGAACAAGCTTTAATTTGACGGTTTCGACATTTTGTAACAAAAGAGCAATGTTGGCATTTTTTTCTGAGTATGTCTTCATTATGGGGCTCCTTTATGAAGGGTAGACATTTTGCGATAATATTCCAACTTATTTTTTTATTTTCAGCTTATTTATAACATTATCGGCATATCAACTGTATTAATATTGACCGAATTTCACGTCAAAAGTGGTCGCCATCTTGGATATCTTCACAAAGAGATGGAAAAAATCCAAAATGTAGTCATAGCCTCTGGCAATATTAATACAGTGCCAAATCACAGTTGGCATGTCGATAACATTATAAATAAGGTGAAAATGAAAAATAAGTTGGAATATTATCGCAAGATAGCTACCTTTCAAAATAATGGCGTCCCATACAAGACTTACTCAGAAAAATGTCAACATTGGTGTTTGGTCATCAGACATCAAAACCTATAAAATAAAGTATGTTCTATGATATCTACCTGAAAAGCCGACGGATTTACAATATGGATCGGACAATTTGGTTAATCTCAAACTATGTACTGATTGGACTATTACTTCTTTGTCAGATATCCATACTTTTAGAATAATCGCCGCCATCTTGGAAAATAGCAACCATTTTAAATTATGAGAACAGAAAAGTCTTCGGCATTTACCCGGTGTCTATTATTAACCGAAGATGTATTCATCTATACCTACATTTAAAAATACATTCCCTCAACGCAATTACCTGCATAGATATATTGACAGAAAACAAGCATCGGGAGGCCATCTTGCATTGATGCAGATTATAAATTTTCCTGTAGGGACTACCCCCGTGATTCTACATTTTTGATATATTATTTGGAAACAGTTCAGTAGTTGTTTACCACAAACCCCGTTTCTATTGCAATTTTTGTCTATATATTATCAAAATTTTGGAAATGGTATAATATAAGAATCCATATTATATGAATATTTTACAAGTAATCTTTTTCACTAATATTATGTAAATCATTTTGTTGAAGTGTCACAAACTTGTTACAGACTATACTTTAAACCCCCTTTGTTGATTAATTAGTCATTGCCCGGTTGACCCAGACTCTAAATAATAGATGTGGGGAAAGTGAGGTGTCCCCCTCGAAGCCACCCACTTGGTTTAATGACAGACTTGATGATTTCAATGGTTTGTATCCATTGCCCATATGTTAGTTCTTCTTTGATTGGCATTTAGTAATTGAACATATTAGCACAGGGTACAATTTTATGGATACACAATTACTGAGTTTAATACTAAGCAAATATTTTCATAAGAGTTGAAATTCCAGATTTTTTTTTAAATACTTTCAGAGACCAATGAATTGATTTCGTTGCCGTGTAAAATTAAGACATTATTTTTTAATTTTAATATTCAATGATATATAAAAGTTACCGATAAAACGCCGAAAATGAAACATAAAGTCAAATTTTTGTTTAAAATGTTGATTTTGTGCATGGAATGTTGACATAAGAATGTAGAAACAAGAATCATTAGTTTAGAATGTTGCGTTCGTGTCTAAAATGTTCAAACTGGAATGTAGAAACAAGAATCATGAATATTGTCCCATTTGGTCTTCCATAGTCGAAACGTCGCTTAGTATTAAAATCAGTAACTGTGTATATTGTACCCTTTGTTATCAGACAATTTATTTCCAAACCCGCAAGGCAAAACATGCGACTGAAATGAAGTATAATGGACTTTGAGTATTTCGATATTCTTACAACATACCATCAGCGTATTTACTCTTATTATTGTTGCCCAAATAATATTTATATCTTTCTTAATTCGGAGATCCACAATGAAATAATTCAAATATTCTTAAATACAAAAACAAATTTATCAGCGACAATAAATATTTATTTAAAAATATACATCGAAAGACAATTGAGACAAACATCTATTTATAAAATATCGAACAATATTTTTTCCAATAAATATTACATAGAAATATGAGTTAGGGCAAGCGTATGGCAAATGAAGCAGATGACTGTAGTACAATTTCTTGCTTTAGAACATTGGTTGCCAAAAAACGAAACATACACCAACCTGCAGATTAGTCGCCTGGAATATTTGTATTAATGTTTTGAAGTTTTGAAAAGAGTTCCATCAGAATCCCACCTAGTTTAACGGATAAAAATGAATCTTAAAAACATTGCCTGAGGATCCAGAGAAAGCCCACGAGGTAAGATACTTGCAAGGAACCCAAAAATATATAAATGAAAGTATATTTTAATAGGATGTGTATTTGTCTTGTCGAACCTAATGCATTTTATATAACAAATACCCACAATGGACCTCATCCAATCTAAAGCATTACTGATCTCACTTGAGCACATTGCAATATAAAACATCATCATAAAATATCGGTTCCGCTGTAAACCTTTACCAATCCGTCAACGATTATGTTAGAAACGCTTGTTAAGGATGAGCCCCATGGTGTCCAACCCCGATAATTAATATTACCCCAGACAAGAGTATATGTTTACTGCCGACCATACAGTTATACGACAATTATAGCTTCATCCTTACCAGGGGTACCTAACATGATAGTGGTCTGTCCTCCATTTTCGTGGACTGCTATACTCTATATTTGTCGGGTAGCGATGTATTATGCTTCGTTACGTATGGTCCACACGAAATACTTTAGACTACCTCTTTGTTGGCACTACTGGTTTTCTTGCGTACACCGTCATCAATATGGGTATGTTTTTCAGTACCATTTCCTACATTCTCTTCTTGTATATCATGAAGTGAAAGGTTCAATGTTTCATCCATGTTGTTACCCAGTTTTGAGTTCTCGGAATGTTTAATATGACCCCAGGGTTGCACTTCACCTTCAGCAAGAATGAAAAACACTAGAGCACCAAAGGTATAAACACCTGCTGCTATATAAAATGTAATTAACCACTCTTCCCTGGTTCCCTGAAAAGGAAAATAAACTCACACATTTATTTACCAAATAGAACCCAATCCATTTTCTTTCCCCATATGATCAGTTAAATTTTGTTATAACTCATTTTAAAGCGACACATGGGTATTTATCACTTAATTATGAACTCTTTGATTTAATGTAAAACCAGATTGTGAGTCTTATGTCAAACAGTATTGCCACAATACGTACGTTTTTGGTCATAGCGCCGACAATATAAGGCGCCAAAATACCAGGTATTGTGGCTGCTGTGTTTGAAATTCCGAACAAAGTTCCTGCAAACGGTGGTGCTATGTCACTATGATTGATAAAATGTCCACTAAAATGAACCCCGCATAAACCAACTGCTATGGTTAACATGGCCACAGCTGCCATTTTCTGATCACATTCCATGTAACCAGTTCCTATCAGAAATAATCCTGGGCCAATGGTACCTGAAAGAAAAACTTACAATACATATATGTTAGGCTGGTCATCATTCATTCCACGTCACGGTACAAAGCATTTGAATTTCGCCATGACCTCCAATTTAAAACTTAAATACACTAGGGCATCTTTGTCTCACGCACTGAAAACGTTAACCCGTGGGTGTAGTCGAAAAATACTTAAAACCTAGCCACCAGATTTTAACATTTACCAGAGAGAATTTAAATGATAACCCGTTGTTTTAGGATTAATATTTTCTTAGGGTGGACGAGTCCTCAATAGTATCCTTTGCAATCCCAATAAACTGTAAAAGACATTATTTGCGTAAAAAAAAATAAATACATGTAATTTAGATCCAGTCAAATTGAACATAACACTGTGATGCATGGAAAATGTTTGAACACAACACAATTTGAATATATCCAATTAGAACTGTGTACAGCCAAAAGTGAATTGCATCATTATAACAATCTACTTGGGATGTTCAGTTCTTATCTTCTCAAAGTTATTGTCCCTTTAAAGAATAATGTTTTTTACACGGGCAACCAATGAGATATGATTGGTTAAACACATTCCAAATGTAATTTTACACATAGGGATCTTTACTACGGTTGATCCGTAATCACATCTGAAGATACTCAAAAGAAACTCAGTGTAACCGACTGATAATTTTCTGGGGATGGTGGGCAGGAATTAAAGCCAGGCTGATTATATTAATGCCACTTCTGTCAAGAGTGTCTCGCGAATTACTATGCTGGTTACCATATTGACTCGCCTGAAATCGTGGCAATATTCTCCAGACTCACCCTATTCTCCGATAACTGTCATGGTTTGAAAATGAAGTTGTGTAACGGTCGTTCCAAGGAACAATCAAATCAAAAGCTTTACCAGTGCAAGAGTAAACGGAAAGATAACTGCATTTTGTGGACCAAGAAGTATTTCATGGAATGAGCGAAGGAGAAATACAAAATTTGAATACTACATGGACAAATGAAATTTAAATGTTTAATATCATTACCTATAGCCGTCATTATTTTCCTAGTATACGCTACCGTAAGCAATTGTCCCTTGATGATTAAATCGGCAATTGTACCCGATATCAAAATACATACCCAAAAAGATAAATAAGGCAACATGGAGAATACACCATTCTGAAATAAAAAGGAAACGATCGCCTTAAATATCACAGCCTATTGAAAGAAACAGTCTATAAATTGAAATATACAGGTTCAACCATCTTACAGTAGATAACTTTGTTAAATCGTACTAAGGGACAAATAAAATTATTTTTTTATTATTGTACTAAACTGTACACGGACATATATAGACATAAATCTAAACAAACCACACAGACCCCAGGTCATCATAGATTTCCCCATTGATTTTAATGCCATACCTTCTTTACCGGGTCTAATTTGTCCCCATGTTTACGTTTACGAAGGCTTTCTACTACAATGTATGTATGTATGTATGTATGTATGTATGTTCCTGAAGCAACGACAGCAAGTTTGACAAGTTCTAGCCGTTGCTACTTTAGTCTGAAATTCCCGAACTTATGGATACGTTATCTCCCTTTACCGCAGACACGTGAACAATAACGTTGTTCAATCAGAGGCAGTGATACAAACACACTCAAATAAAACATGGCGACCTTGATGGAAACTTTGGCATTGAATGGAGCATAAACTTTGCAACTGATCATTACAGAAAGACAATTTAGCTGGAATCTGAGAGCCCAACAGCTGGGTCAGTAGCCAATTGAAATTAGTGACGACATATCCAGGGCATTGCGTGAAGGGCTTGATAAGATGTACGGAGTTAAAGTGAGGTCAAGCTTACTAATGAAGATGGTGAAGGGCTTGATAAGATGTACAGAGTTAAAGTAAGATCACGCCTTCTATTGAAGATTGTATGAGGTTCATTATGGAAACACTGAGATACACAAACTGCAAGTAACAACAGTCCATTTTTAATAAACATTTTTTGTTTGCTTATAAATTGCCTAATGCCAATGTTTTATACTATTTCTTGTCGGGAGTAGCCTTGTGGGGCTGATATGGAAAGCTGGCCTAGTCGTTTGGATGGGACTAAAAACCGAGGCCCATCCGTGCACACACCGCGTTAAGTAAAAGAATCTTTGAAAGTCAGAATTCGATGAAGACCAGTTCGGTAAACGCAACTATTCAGGCAAACACACCTCCCTGATAATAACCATAATATATTACTCCTCCAAATGACGAATCATTGTGTTGACGAGACGTTAAACGTATTCCATTAGATATAAATCATTTCAAACATATTTTAATTTTTTCAGAATATAATTACCGCTTTAATATCAAATTTTAAAACGTCCTTCATGTAGGTAGGGATCTGTGTCAATAACATATAAGCTCCATAATTAGCACAGGCATGTGCTATAATAATCGCCCATACGGCTTTAGACTTAAATATTGATGACCATGGTGTTTTATGTTTCTGAAACAAAAAAAAAACATTAATGTTTATTCTGGACAAGAGATAACATTGAAAGTGTAGACAGGAGCCTGGTTTACACACCGCACATGTAGATATTCTTAGCATTCTGCACACAGAGATCCATCTACTTCATTCGTCAAGAATTGACCTCTGCCCCAAATGGCCGCCATATCCAAAAATTAGTACACTATTTTGTAATGCGTTTCTACTCCGTTTCACATCGATTCTGTCATAAACACAATGCTTAATACACTTTTTCAATTGTTTTCGATTAAAATCGTCGATTTAGAACTTAAAATGTCGGTCAACTAGCTTAGTGTCTGTTTCTCAAGCGGAGCTAACTGTAGACAGGCAGCCTAAGTTTGGTATGATATTCTTAGAAGACATACAAGAAATGAACACATGTATGTAATTTCCAGAATTTATAAACAGAACCACTAACAAATATTTAACCACTTGGAATATGCAAAACGTAGTTCTAGACTGTAAATTATAAAGGCCTAACAACTGCAATATTTTTTTTTTAAAAATTACACTACTCTATTAGTCCTACAAACCACAGAAATAGTCAAATTCTAACTTCTGTTATTTTCTGGGACCTGTCCCCCGAAATTTTAACTAAGATAAAATCCAAATTTTAGTAATTTGATAGGATAATATTAGATTGATTTTAGTGCTTAGCCAATCAAAATTGAAATACATGTATCTACTAAAATTTGGACTTTATCTTTAGTTAAGATTTCGAGAAACAGGACTCTGGAAACAAACGTCTGATGCGCGAAAGAAAGGACAAACATACGGCCTGTAGGGCATATGAACAAAGATTTAGTAAATAAACTGGAAGTTAACCTTTTTAAACGATTCTTGATTATCACCCAAAGAATGCTGTATAAAATCTTTCTCAAGAGTAGATATAGTTGGATGTTCACCGGGTGAATCATAGGCAAATATACACCATATTACTGTCCATATAAACCCTACAGAACCTGAAAAAAATATACACAATATTACTGTCCATATAAACCCTACAGACACTGACAAAAATATACACCACATTACTGTCCATATAAACCCAACTGAACCTGACAATAAAATATAGATATTATATCACTGCAGAACCTGAAATAATTGTTAATAAGTGATTATATATCATAAGTAGAATATAACCAGTAGCCTCTATAGCATACTAACCTATAACATAAAATACCGAAGGCCATCCGCCATCAAATCCATAGTGACATAAAAACCCACCAATAGGAAATATTAAAGCATTACCAAACTGTCCACCTGAAACAACACAATATTACTAATTTTAGAAATAATGTAATTGTTTACGGTTTCGCCGAATTCACCATTTAAAGACGCTTTAATTAATGAGACACACACTTTGTCATACAATTTATAAAAGGATATTAATACTTTGTTTCGGTTTTTTTCATGTTCACTTTTCATACCACGCTATGGACTGTACCTTTTCCGGGTTGTTAGAATTTACCGTCGAGATCTGATCGAAATCATGCAATGGCAATTATGGACAGTATGCAAGCCTCCGTTTCTAATCCAAACCCTTTGTAAAATTGCATCTTTTTATTGGCTTGAATAAATGACGCGTTTCCGATACGGACAATTCTGCCTAAGATTTAATTTCTCCTATATCAGTCTGCCTATGAAAAAAAAAATAATAACCCGACCAAATTAGTACAGTATTAGAAGATGACTAGTATTTTCACAGACTGTAGGCCAGTCTATTTGACATATATTGTATCCTTATTGTTGGAGGTTCTGTTAGTGATTCCATTATACCGTGTTAAAAACCCTAATATTACATTTGACTGAAATACTGACATGCTTTTCCGTTTAAAAAGATTAAACACATTTACCTGCATATGAAAGTCCTATAAGACGACTTCGTTCATTGGGTGGAGCCCATCTCGCCCATAATGCCTGTGCTGCTGGATACATTACAGACTGCAAACGTTACACAGAGGTGGTTATTTTAAATAACGTGTTTACCATAATACGGATCGAAATATATAATTGTTTCCTAATTTCGTAAGATTTTAGAACACATATATTGATATTTAATAGTCAAATGTGTATCTGATCCATAGTCATTGGTTTTGATAATTTTGTTTTCAAGGGAAATAACTGCACATAATGAAAAAACTCTTCCATTGCTGATAGATAAGCTTCTCAAATGTAAATAAAATACAATAACAAAAGTACCGCAATGTTATTTTCGAACACCGAAAGTTGTCACGTAATTAATATGCCTGTTGGATTTTAAGGCAAAGCTGTTTGGTTAAACCATTGAGTTAGTTACAAGCTTTTCAACTACATTTTAAACTATTTTTTCAAGATAATAATTCTTTGATTCAAAATTGGACATGCGCAAAAGAATGAGGTACCGAATTCCCATATGTGTTGTCATTGCTTGATACATGATAAAGGTACCTAAAGTGATCGGAAGTAAATATAATTCACATCAACACACCTCACCTATTCCTATGATTCCCCTCACAACTATAAATAAATATGGACTCGCACGAGCACAAATCGGACTCAAAAGAGTCAAGATGGCCACTGGAAACATTCCTATAGCTATCACTTTCTTAGCTCCAAATCGTTCACTCAGCCAGCCACCAGCTACTTGTAATGCTAAGTAACCCCAGAAGAAAGATCCCAAAATTAATCCTTGGAGTTCTTTGCTCCATTTAAATTCGCCAGGCTGAAAAAGAGACGCCCAAACATTATTCAGAATATAAACCTAAGATTATCATCTCATAAGCGGCACGATTTATTCTCATTGAAACATGTAAGGCGTGGTCAAACTGGTGGAATGACGTTTTGGCCACGGGGGTTTAATATGGGCTTACAGGTGGCAATATAAGCCAAATGGTTAAATACCCGAGACATTCACAAAATAATATAGCCATAACAGATTTTGTCACAATTAGTTGTGCTCATTTAACTTACATTTGACTTATTTGACAATGCTTCTGGACACTTCGCTGCTAGAGTTCGGTTGCTGGATACGGTTGTGGTAAGATAAAGATGGGAACTGCTATTATTTGAAATCTCTCGAGTGACTCTATGGTCTACCATAGAAACAATAGCAATACTTAGATTAACCCTCTGGGCATAGAGACACAGAAACCCAAAGAAACACATCACAGCTAATTGGAGACGTTTGGAGGTCCACCATGGCACTATACAAGAGAAAGGTGAAGAAAATACTGGTAATGTTGCTGCAAATGTTATATATTTCACATGGTTGTAATAAAACTTATTATATTTCATCTAACATTTCAAGTGCTTAACTGGAATTCCCTGACTGCGTCTCTATTAGGGGGTCCTTTAAAACTATTTTTTAATTTCTAAATAAAAACGGCAACTTCATTAAAGTCTAAATATTTAGATATTTCATTTTCCAAACAAAAGTAGTTAATAATTTTACCGGTGGGTGGCAGCGAATGAGTTAGACTAAGGTATCATTACCTTAATATTGATATAAATGCCAGTTGCTATCCCCACCTCAGCCAAAGCGAAATATGTGCTTCTTTAAAAATATTGGTATTCGTGAGAGGTCCACAATACTGAGGTAGACTTTAAGTAAGTTTTCACTGTATATGAAAGATTTATATTTACCTTTGGACTGAACAATATGATCTGGAAAGGGTGGAAGATCGTCTTTATATAGAGGACTGTTGTGGTGTGACAGATCAAAACTTAAACTTCGTCTCTGGTTTAAGTATCGTCGACCGAGAGAGGCATTGGAGTCCTGACTACTGGAGGAAATACTCCTGGTTCTGTCTTTAACTCGACTGAAAACATAAACAGAAACAAGTCATATCTCCGGAAATTCAGCGGTTGTGCTAAACGTAATAACGAATATCAGCCTTAAACATACATTATCTATTTCGAACTCGACTGAAATAAGTTATCAATAAAATACATGTACTTCAATTGTTTTATATCGAACCTCTTGCCTTGCCAATTATTCTGTACAAAATGTCTCATTTAAAGGACAATATTGGTGCCAGTAATTATCACATATGTGATAGAACTGGTTAAACACGTTCCAAATATTATTTTATCACAGAGATCATTGCTACGATAAATGTGTAATCAATGTTTGGACAATCGGAAGTGACGAACGCAAAAGGAAAACACGAGTCATCCCTCTATATAACTGACTGAAGTGACGAGTGATAACAGATACATGGTCGAATTTCTGCTCACTAATATATGAGACTGTAAGAATATATCTGACAATTCAAAAAAGTAATTGAATGTCATTAGATAAGAGAACACGCGAAAAATAGAAACAGTCCGTACATTCACGTGTGTTTATTCATTCTATACTTATAAAAACATGGTAATGCACGGACTTTTTCTATTTTTCTTTCATGTTCTCTTATCTAGTGACAGTCAATTTTTTTTATGAAATGTCAGACATCCTTTCACAGTCTCACGCAACAACTTTTCGTCTTCGAAGAAATTATTAGTGAGTAGAAATTCGCCCATGTATCTGTTATCACCCGTCACTTCAGTCATTTATATAGTGGGATAACTCGTGTTTTTCTTTTGCGTTCGTCAATTCCGATTGTTGAAACATTGATTACGCATCTATAGTAGCAATGATCTCTGTGATAAAATAATATTTGGAACGTGTTTAACCAGTTCTATCACATAAGTGATAATGACTGGCACCAATATTGTCCTTTAAAGTGTTGCTTTAAAACTTCCTTTAAGGATAATGTGAAAATGACTCAACTTTGTGCTTCGTTATTATTTTATTTCTATCGAGTATTCTCAGCTCACGAACGCAACAAATGTGCATGCTTCAAATAAAGGGTCTGGTCAAATGATTTTTACCGTAATAAAGAAGATTTTGCTATTACTGAAGGGCTTGCAGAACTAATTTCTGATGTTCCTTCTTTTAGTGGAGACTTTTCAGAAACGGCCCCGTCATCATTAGCTGTATTCTGATCATCCATATTGCAAATGTGTGGAACAAAAACGTATCTGTAAAATAAAAACATCCCAAAACATCCAAAAATTAATTAGTTTACAACTGAAAATCATATTTCAAAGCTACTGATCATCATTTGCATTTTCGGACAATATCTACTTTTTTTAAAAACAGAATCCACTATAAAATGAACTCGCTTAAAAATTATATTAAGAAAAGAAAATCAAAACATCAAAGGTAGATTTTAAGCGGTTTAATATGAGGCCGGTGGAAAAGTGTTTACAAATTTTTCCACTCATCAGATCTGTGTAAACACTTAATGAAATTTAACTAGTGATTTAGAGGGTGGAATCATAAGACCTGTCAGTGAGTCAAGTGGCGTGGTTTCGATTCCCCGCTTGTACGTGATAATGACTAGGCTCGCCTGTCCAAATCCGTCGGGTTTCTTCGGGTCCTGCGATTTCCTCTCTCTGCTAAAGACCACCTACGCGCACGCGACTTATTCACATATAATTGAACCATATTGTAAGTCCCGACATCATCTAGTTTGTGTCGAGAGGATGTTAAACCCCATTTTTCTCTCTTGACTACTCTTGAATATTTGCCGAAAATTCATATCTTAGTTCAAAGAAAAAATTTATTTGACATTATCAAACTCTATCTGATTTTAACGGTTTTATAGCCAACATTTTCATATAATATTATGTCTGGGGTCAGTTTTTTGTTTTATCACAAATAATTCAGTAATCTTAAAGTGACTTGTAATTCAATATACATATATAATCAATATTTTCCTTTTGATTATATAATCAAAACCACTCTGAAGCTACTGCATTTTCAACTGCTACAGATACCATTCAATTTGAAGGACTAAACTTGGAAATTCGAAGGGTACTGCATTTTCGACATACAGTTTATGTAATTCTTAAACTTTACTGCTTCAAAACCGGGGATGAAATGTAAATAATAATATCAGAATCTGTATAAATATTACCGGAATTACAATTATATTACGCATATTGAAGACATAAGCTAAACTGGCAGAATTTTCAGGGCGGATACCCATCGCAATACGCACGTAACCATAGATATTTCAATAGTATAATCATTAAAGTTTCAACGAGACTTATACTCATGCTTTTATCATAACATATCAGTCTTAATTTAGGACATTATCGTTGTAGGGTACACGTCTGTATTCAATCAAAGATTTTTTTATCATGTGGTTCATAAAAGTTCATTCAATCAATAACTTTTTCTTTGACTGAAATTTAGATCTATTGAAATATAAAAGGACTGAATATTTTCAATTAAATTATATATGCATTACAACTTATATAATAGCTCTATTACAATATATTATAACATCGAGGAAATCTATTTCAGAACTCACCCAATAGTTGTTATCTACAATCCTATGAATTTATAATGGTATTTCACAGACTGCTGCATGCCTATTATATGAATTTGCAATTTCCGGTATCTCTATAAGGAATCGTGTATCAATCTGGAGGCGGTTGTGAACAACAACCGACCTTTACAAGGTCTTTTTGCTCGTTTCAAGGTCATCTGAATGTCAAATTGTTCTACCTGCATGATCAGGTTATTACGAATCACTAATTTCACAGGACAGGAAAAGAATTTTAACCAGGCTTTTATGAGCAGTATTCAGCGAGTCTATTCATATTGAATAAATAAAAATGACAAAAAGCACACCTTATTTTGCGTAATTTGAATTTCATTTAGTCCATGTACATACACATTGTTCAGTAAACAAAGAAATAAACACACAAACAAACAAACAAATCGAATCTCTTCTTCTACTCAGTAAGGGAAACTGATGCTATTATTGATGAATTCGTTTTATTTATGCCGCATGCGGACTTTCAGCACAAAAGGGAATTAGTAGTTATGACTTCTATTGATTTTCTAATAATACTGCCACGGTAATTTATTCCATGGCCTTCATCAGCATACTATACATTTATTATACGATGCTGTTCATTGAAGAACAGTTTATAAAAGCTACATATTTGGTCATATGCGCACCTCTGTTTTACATCTGGGGTTAGGAAACCTTAAAAATAACTAGGTTGGGGGTAATGAATTGTTATAAAATTGCTAATTCACTAGAATACCATATTCCTGAAGCAACGACTGCGAGTTTTACAACAACTAGACATAGCTAGGCTGCTCTGCAACTTATAGCTATGTTATCCCCCTTTAACGCAGACACGTGGACGATAGCGTCCAGTCAGAGGTTGTGACATTAACACACCCGAATCGAACATAGCGACCCCAACGGAAACCTTGACAATGAACGAACCTCGATTATTACAGGTAGACATTTTAACTAGAAAGCGCTGGACTTGGTATTCGCGATGATCGTAGAATCTGATAGGCTCCCCAACTGGGTCAGTAGCCAATCGAAATTAGTGCCAAAATATGCAAGGTATTACATTAAGGGCTTGATAAGATGTACGGAGTTAAAGCGAAATCAAGCCTTCTATTGAAGATGCTAGAATATATGATTTACATACTACTCTGCGAAAACCACACCACTCCTATCCAACGGCTTGCTAACGTTTCTTATTATCAAATCTAATTTACAATCTTATTCAGCGAGTCTTGAAAAATAATTTTGAAAAGTTGTCCATGTATACATCCTTCTATGTACCCCTGTTCTCTATATTAGGAATGAACAAATCTAAATGCCAACCCCTTAAATTTGTAAATTGTTTACGCCTGGCAGATACAAACGACTAAATTCTTGGCATTTACATGGTTTCGATGGGGAAATATTGAAGCTCGATTTGATAGGGTTTCTCCTGATGACTACCTGAACTATCCCAGCAACATCTTAATAGAACTCATACAATCAGAGAATTTACAGGGTTTCGTTAATAGAGATGTTAATTCAGATTTGCATGGCCATAAAATTTTTATACGCCCAATTTGTTTGTGGACACTCTACAGATCACAATTTTTATCCCAAAAATCTCAGTTCCTGTCGATATTGGCATAAATCGGACCATAACGTCATGAATTATGGCTCCTGATTAAACAAAAAAAAAATCACATTTTTACCTTGTGGGCACTCTACAGGTCACAATTTTCATCTGATTTTGATGAAATGCATGTTTATAACTAAAAGATCTTGGTTCCTTTCGATATTTGGGCATGTCGGATTATGGCCCTTGATTGTACAAAAGAATCGCGTTTTTAGCTTGTGGTCCCTCTAGAGGTAACAATTTTTATCCGATTTAAAACAAAACGTTTGAATATATAACCGTCACACCCTACCTAATGATGACTGAGTTCAAATTTCGTGAAAATCGGAACAAAACTGCCGTACAAAATGGCCGCCCCTCGTACGCAAATAGTGTAAATATGGTATGTCAAGGTTGTGGACCCTCTAGAGGTCATAATTTTGATCCTTTCGATATTCGCGCATACCGGATCGTAACTTCCTGAATTATGAACCTTGATTGTACGAAAAATCTCTTTTGTTTAGCTTGTTCTCTATCCATCTCTTGCAAAATGTGGGCGCATCTGCCTGGCAGTCGCTGGTTTCTGTCATCATCAATTTAAAGGTTCTGAACACTACTTTTTCTACTGGCATCTATACGCCGATGCGCGACGGCAGATAATTTCCCAGTAACCGTCTATAATATGGTTCTATTGAAAGGTAATGCAGATGATTTCAATATATTTATATCCAAACTGTACATTCTATTATTTCTGTTCCCAATCAAAGTATATAAGTTTTTAGAATAAAAATACCGTTTTTAGAAAAATAAAAAGAACACTGAACAAAATGGATCCATGAATTTGAATTTCGAACCGAATACCGGGACAAATAAACAATTTCAAAAACTCAGATAGATAAAAAAGATTTGCCGACACAATTTTACCTACCACTGTCACATTGTGGAGATGTAAAATGAAGGTCTTTTTTCATTAGATGTATGGTCTGAGAAATCGGTTCATACTTCATTTATCCGAATTTCGGACGAAAACCCGAGGTCTCGTGTACACATGGGAGTGTAGGTAAAAGATCCTCTGGTAGTTGGAATTAGATATAAGAGTACCCCCTAGTGCCGCTGTCCGGGTAAAATTTCCCTAATAGCACACTGTATGGCAGATACACGTCTTCATTAGCCCAGTCGAAGCAGAACAGTAGGACGTTAACCCCTATTTCATTTCATTTAATTCCATACTTATATATCCGACCCAAACGCAAATACACGTATATATCTTACAACATACACATATATAATAGCAGTAATCTGTAAATCGCTCAGTAGCCATGTTAAAATCTTTTGAAACCGACATCTGTCAGTATTGCCTACTTTGTGTCCAGTCGCGATTTTCAACCAAGAAAAAAGGTGTTAAAGGAGCTAAATCGCTAATATTTGGGACCTAGATAGTGACAAGAAATGGGTCGCAACGCATATAATAATGTAATCTGAATGTATATACACTGATTTACATTCAATCGTTTCCGTTTTTACTCTAATTTCAAATGAGTTATGTTTGTCGAGATGCACCAGAAGGGGCAATCTCTATCGTCTGGTTATTCCAGTCTATCGCGCATGGTCTCCAAGTAAGAATATTGCGTCACCGTTTGACATGATTTGATAAATTAATGTCTAGCCTCGTTCTTTCTTGTCCCTTGTTACAAATGGCGCTGAAACGTATTATAGTACACGATTTGTGTACCAATGGTAAAATGTTTATTTTGTCTTAAATATTGGATATCAGAAGGCCATCTTTTCCCGGCAAGATCACAACATCGATGTTGATTTAAATTGACAAATAATTCGTGTTTTCAATGTGAAAGACATTGGATGATACTGAGTTAGCGATTTAGCTACTTTAAGCGTATAAATCTATAAACAAGTCTAATATTATTGCATTTATGTGTGTTTTTCTAGAAAACCAATAGTAAAGGCAAGCTTTTATTCTTTCAGTAAGCAATTTCAGAAAATTGTATACATGGCTTTCTCGCAGTTCTTAACGTAATTTAGCTACGAAATGATCGTCACGGTCAAGACGATTGGAATTGCCAGATTTGAGGATGCTGGTTAAATAGGCTCTTTATTACCAAATAACAAAAACTCGTGTTAATTGGGACCAAAAATGTTCAAATTTCCACGATAAAGTTACTAGGGTCAAACAAACTGAGATATTTTCGGTTTTACAATGTTAGAGAGGAATTATCACTTTCACCTAAAAAAAAAAAAAAAAAAAATACAAATGCCCAATATTTCACATGATATCTCAAATAAAAGTGGGTTAGGCACGGCTTATCATCTAATTGCAGTATTTACGTTGTTTCGCGAAATCTTGTCGCGGTTTCTCTAGACTGTATGCATAACCACCAGGCAGAACAATATTGAAGTTTGTTTTGCCATCAAAATGTTGTAAGCACTCGACACTCGACAGGTTTATATAATTATGTACAGTTTTTTTTAGATATTCTATTTAAAGGGGCATTATGAAAGATTTAAATAAAGAGCTGTCCGTTCTCTATATAATATTTCAATGCAAAATGAATATTGAAAATTTCATTCAAATTACTTTATTTTGAGCGAAGTTATCAATTGTTGTAATCTTGACAAGATGTATGCATTCATCGTAACCGCCGTACTGGCCATTCAATGGTGGAACTGTTCTAATCTACTTAAAATTGGAGCAATCCGATGGCATCCAGATTTGATAATAGTCTTGTCATGTTAATAAATGTCTAATTGATAATTTTTATATATAACATTTAAGGTCCAAAGAAAGGCCTGCAATATATAGACAGATTTAGCTTTTACATAATCCCTGTTTAATACTTTATATATTTATAATTATCTCAGTTATATTTATAATATACATAAATTAGTCACGTATTTACCTGGTTAGTACCACAAGGATGATGTCATTGGTCTCTAACCTTTTGAATGTGAAGAAAATCTGAGAACGACCCATGTACACAATGGCAGGCACGAAAACTGGCCTAAAGAAGCGATATATGCGAGAAATCCGCTGTTCGCCCAAAACGTTAACCATACTTAATAAAAAACAAAGGGGTATTGCATGAAATTTTGTATTATCATCTGGTCAAAATTAACTTTACTTCTGCATTACTCATTTCAGGATAGCAAATATAAATAAGCGAATGTTGGTCTCAGAATGACTTAAATACATCACAGTTATTGTATGAAATAATTTATTGTTAACCGGATTAATAATGTATCATATTTCCACACCTTAATCAGATAGTTAGTTTACCTACATACTTAATTATTGATCGGATTATTGTTATATAATTAATATGACTGATTTGAGTTGTATATTTAGTAACTGATATACTTATGAAACGGGGATAGGTGTTCGTATACTAGAAATTGGACTCTTTGAACTGCAAAGTACACTTTATTTTTAGGTAAGTTTCGAAATATAATTTTATAGAAACTTAAAAACTAACTGTTTCTTAGTGGTTTAACACAGTCTATAATTGTTTTCTAGACGTAAACAAATTTAAGTTTCGGAAAACATATGAAACAATTCTTTTTATAAGCTTTGAATGAGTTTGACTACTATCCCAGCTAACAAAAAGAAGGATAGGACGCCGACAACGAAACATTTGCCTACCAACTGCTACTTCGTTCAAGAAGTTGTAACTCATAAAATTCTAAAACGATCAGATCATAATTAAAACAAGGTACAATTTCATAGCTGCACAATTACTGAGTTTAATACTAAGGGACTTACTCTGGAATGTATTACCGAAATTAATATGATTCTTTCTAGGCTAGACAAGTAGTAAAAGTTTCAGAAAGATAGCTTAATAATTTCAACCAATAAAGTGCTATATCTGAAGGTTTTAAAAAGATAACTGGATTATAGCAGCATCTGCAGTGCAAACAAGATATTAAAATGCATCCGCCCCACCCATCCAACAAAAAATATCAATCTACCGAAGTGTTTCGTCCTAAATAAAAAACAGGAATTTTAAAAATGTCAATAGGTCAAAGGTTGTGCCACGGAAAGTACTAATTAAATGAACACAAATTACTGAACCATGCTTTATCACCTTTATCTTAATATCAATTACTTACATATTATTTACTTATAAAATATACATAGATATTAGCGGATTAGTATAGATTATATCAATTCAGCGATAATCCACGGCGACCAGTGTCTATCTTACTCACCGGAAATACACCTTATATACATAAGTAAACTATCAGTTTCTGTTATGCAAACAAAATTTTCTTTCTTTCTCTGAACAGATTTCTAACTAAAATATAGGAGACCCTATCTGGTAAGTCATATTGTTCATTGATTTTTGATATTTTTTATTGTAAAAATCTGACCGGATTTTAGTTTGAGAATGATTATGTAATTATGGATGACGTACTCTTAATGGTTAATACTATAAAATGAAATGGGGTTTAACGTCCTATTTTTTGGCACCGACCGGGATAATGAAGGGGGTATTGTTGTTGTGTATACTTACCAAACTGAAATTCTGTCCATAATTGTAAAGTTTGTCATTGGTGGCTGTTTACAAAGCTATCATACGCCGTAGTCTACAGTTTATCATTTTCTCACGCTCTAGTCTACAGTTTACCATTTTATCACACGGTGTTCTACAGTTTATCATTTTATCACATTGTGGTCTATAGTTTATCATTGACTATTTTCTAAATAAAAAATTAATCACTGGTTTTATTGTCTCAATATTTATCATTGATCGCTATCTAAATTTTATCAGTGATTATTTATTGTTTAAATTTGATCATCTGTTGCTGTCTAAGTAAAATAATTGATGATTGAGAACTGTCTGAAGTTTATCATTGATTGTTGTCTAAATAAAAAAAGATTAATTGGTTGTTGTCTAAATAAGAACATTTCATTGATTGTTGTCTAAATTAAAAAAATCATCATCGGTTATTGTCTGACTTTTTAATGGATCAATGCTGTCTAATTTTTTATATTATTTGCTTTCCAAATATGTCATTGGTTGATAGGCCTACTACAAAATTTCATCAATGGCGGTTGTCTCTTTTTATCATCTGATTGCTGTCTTATTCTGTGACTGTCTAAATTTTATCTATCAAATTACAATTTTACCATTTATCATGGAGTTATGAAAATTCACTAAAAACGAACAGGTAAATTGAATAAATGTGACAGTAATGACGGGTTTTGATTCTGATGCATAATTCCCACTGCTTCTCGTTAAATGATTTTGTTGACAGTTGTTATACATACAATGTTGTTCTCTTTCGGCGAGGTTATGATTAATATACTAGTAAACTATGAAACTTTACCCGAAATTCTGTTTTAATATAAAATACGAAGAACACATATCAGTAAACGAGTAAGTCATAATATCAAGCTTCAAACTAGTTTACTTAGTCTATTTTATTAGTTTTTAATCCAGTCAATTCTCTTCTCTATCCCCATTGTTAATCCTCGCCCAATAAATACCAGATTTTCAGGGTTTGTCTTCTCGTGAAAATCACCATTGTCAGTTTGCTGTGTATGTCAGTTTGGTTTACGGTAATTCCATCAATTTACTGTTAATCTAGGCATAATGTATATTACATTACAATGCATAATACGGACTTGATTGACATTGTGAAATATATTTGATGTGTATGGCACCTATTCTACTTATGACGAGCTGCTATAAATTAGTAATAGTTATGTTGGTATATAGAGTCTAGTTGAGGTCGTGATTTTATCAGAAGGTTGGGTACAAGGAGAAGATAAAGGTATACTGTTCATGGAATAGGTAGGCTCTATTTTAAAAAAAATGTCCAATAAAAATATTCATCGCGTATACATGGACATACCTGGATTGCATTCTTTAATTAGGGCTATAGTTTAAAGTCGGGGTTGTCTTTTAATTTCGTTTTATAATATGGCGATATCTTAAAGTTGGGATTGTCTTTTGATTTTATTTATTTAACATGGTGATGTTTTAAATTCTTTAATATTGCAATGTTTTAAAGACATGAATTTTTTGCAGAAAGAAATTATTCACTTTGGTTTATCTTATTGCTAGACAATTTTCCTGTACCGCTTGTTAACCTGGTACTATTGGTATGTTATGAGAATTTGGTTCACTGTATTAAGAACATTTTCAAACAGTATAAGCAACGTCATCTATTCTTTGGTTGGTTGATTTGGGGCGGCAAACTTAATATTTTGGGGATTTTAAGGTATGCGACAACATCTAAAAGTTTTATTATTTTCTTTACAGAATAAAATATAATCATGTCGTGGGTAATGTTTGGAAGTCCCTTGTGGAAGACTGATAAAGTTTCCGATGGAATCAAGCCATTACCAGGAGCTGCAGAGTGTAAGGACCTAGAGGATAAATTTGTTAATGATGGAATAAAAACAGAAGTACAAAATTTTCCTAGAAATCAACCAATTATACCCCCTTATAACGCTGTTAAAGATGTCTACGCACAAGCTTACTTTCAGTCACCTGTTGTGAAAGGGATATTTGAACGAAATGAAGCATTGAAGGTAAATAGAATAAAATGAGATGCCTGTCGAAAGCCCCCTTTTTGATATATATGTATATAGCACGAAGCAATCTTTTTATTTTTTTTTTTTATTTTTTTATATTTTACTGATTTTTAGTTTCCAGCATAATAATGTCTTCCTAAATATCCTTATTCCTATTTCTATATTTTTTTTTCCAGAAATGCACATTAATTGCCGTCTTTGGTTGCTATATGGAGTCATTTTTTGTTCATACTATTATTGTTGCTTTGATGGGCGTGCGTTAAATTCGTTAACAATATTGGAGTTACCGCCCTTTAAGCGACAACACAATGGGGATGCTCGAGTGAACGTTGAATTCTTTCAAACCCCAAATTAGTGAAAATCGAGTAAAAATGGGAATTTGGGACTAGAAAGCATGCTGAAACATATTGGTTATGTTTAATTACGTTACGATTCTACTCACACCACCTCCGTTGTCGGGACTGACAGAACAGGGACAGGTCTGAATTCCGCGTCAAACTATTGCAATTCCGTCAAATCGGACATTTCCGATGGTAATCAAGCCTCCCCATTAACAAGTTTCCCAGGCCCATTGCTTTGATTATCACGTCCAGATTTTTTAAAAGTTGTAAACAATTTAAGCGAAAAAAACTACAAAATAAACTACACTTTTTTGACGTACTAGCAAAGATGTTATTAAAAGAAATTATTTCATGTTGCTGTTTTTGTTTTCAGAATTTTAAAGAAGAAAAGTCCCGGATAAGCCATAATAAATTAAGTGCTAGAAAACGATGTCCTATAACACCAAACGATAATGAACTGAAATTAAGAGAACAGAAATTTATAAATGACGGCATAATAACAGAAAGATCCCGCACCAAATACAAAGACATAATTCCTGATTATGACGCCACAAAAGATCATCACAGCAACCATTACACCAAAAGAGCAGACGTCAAACGATTATTAGCGGTCACGTGTACACCTCGAGGTAAGTAAAGCGAACTGAATATTCGTACTATCAAATATTATCGTTTTTTAAAATCTTATTATTACGTTTAAAAACCGGAAAAAGATATGTATGTTTTAATGTAGGCTGCCACTTATTCGGCATTTAGTGCCATGAATTTTTCAAGGACGGTTTCACATAATGATGTTAGGGGTAGCGTTTGTGGAACTAACAAGCTAAGTGTGATTTGTTGTTAGTTCTACCCCCAAAAAAACAAACCGGTGTTTTTTCTTAAAACTATTGAAACTTGAAATTCGATGGTATGAAGTCGGAATATGAAACTGTCCTGTTAAAATTCTTTCTCGTGGAATTGCACACATTGCCATAGAAAAACAATCATATTATGTTACTCAGTTAGGCCTAATGGCATAAGTTAAACTTTACTCATTTGCTTTCCTTCACTGTGCGCGAGGCAGAATGGCGTTACAAAACCAAGAGATGGTCGGAAAATAAATATGACTCTAGCAAGTTCAACTGTGACTGTTGTACCCAAACCGCTATCATTCAAACTAAAAAGTGGGGAACAGTTTACTACTAACTGCCTTTTACCCAAACTCCTATCATTCAAACTAAAAAAAGTGGGGGAAAAGAGAGTATAATGTACTTGGTTGAACGTAACCACACTCCAGTTCACTACTAACTGCCTGCACAATAATCACAAATTCATAAAAAAGAAAAAGAGAACAATTAAATTTGGTAATCCCATTATGAGATAAGCCCCATTTATTATGATTGGGTGCTTGCTTATGATATGAACTGTAAACCAGTAAATAACGACTCTTGTCAGATAATGATAAAACATATTCAATACTAGTAATACCGCTTACTTTACATAGTCAATAATGACCTTGCTTTTTTTAAGAATTGTCAATAACGACCCCCGTCTTTTACACAGATCACTTTTACAAGATCAATATAAATCTATAGAATATTACACAGAAGATCGCGATCACGTGATGGCAACGGGGATTAGTTTAATCCCACTCTATTATATAGCTATTTATTAAAATCTAAAAGGGCTCTGTTTGGGAAAAAGATCAAATGACAGTCTGGTTCAACAAAAACCCATTAGCAGTATTTAGCGAGTAACTCACAATCACATGATATTTTATTCAATAAACAAGAACCCGAATTCGTATTAGAATATTTATAAATGCATATAATTTAGCAATCAAGCCACGGATATTGATATTAGGAAAATACAACAAATGACTTGTGGTTTCATGGAAGTTTATCGTACTTCAAAATCAAATGAAAAAAAAAAATCCAAAGAATTATGATGTTTATTAAATCACAAAATATTTTAATGTTTTTGAAAAATCCTCCTTTTTTGACCCCCGATAATACATCACTACCGTTGAAAATAATTGAACTGTGAAATAGATTTGATCCTATTAAACTACGCGTAGAGGAGGTTCTTATCGGGACTGCAATAAATAAATCTACCTTAGCAACGGCTGGTATAGACTTTAAAGCGTGGTGTAGGTATGTATGTAATAGGCTTGTTAACGTATTTTGGTTGTATATAGAGGTTTAGGTAATACAGCCTTGACAACATAGCTACAAATCTCTTTAATTATTCGTCGAGGATTAAAGGGTTTGTTGGTAATATCAATAGCTGATTGTGTGTATTGTATAGAGTTCGGCGTAATTAACTGCATAATTTACCGAGTTGCTCAATTAATCCGTCGGGATTCGCCATTTAATTACAACCGAAGATCATAACTTCTGATTATAATTGGATTAACACATGCCGTGGAGATGCATGGTAACGTTTAGCAAAGATTAGGATTAACTGTTAGTGATAATCCATTTTAAGGTTGTCCAAACTTTGATTAGAAACATACTGTACTTAAATCAAGCGCATGCAGACATACGATAGTCTGACTCATATAGGTGGACGCGCTTCGGACATCAGCTGAGAAAGTTCCGTTTGATAAGTTTGCGTGTTTTTGTGCGGTTTAATATTAGTGGTCATTGATTTTTGTGATATATCTTCTTGTAGCAGGAAGTCAAAGTCATAGATAACCATGTCGGACGGCCAGAACAGCACACCCCGAGAGAAGAAAAGAGTCAACAAAATATACAGAGCACCAACTACCCCTCCTCCGGAGGAGCTTTTTACTAAAGAGAAAAGTTTTGTATTAGATTGTAACGCGGTCAGTAGTATCTCTAATGATTATTCTAAAGCTAATCCTAAGTTAGGTCCCGTTATTACGCCTTATAACTCGAAAAAAGATATGCACGTTAAAAATTATTTTGAATTTCACGGGGTTGACAAGACCTTAAAGAAGACAGGTCAGGTTAGTTAGATTATCACTTTTTTTTTCATTATTATTTTTTTTGTCTTTTCCATGGATTTATCTATATACACATACCATATTTATATTGTATTTGTATACATGTACCGAATGACAAAAGAAACACCAATTTCTTGATGAATTTACTTTAGACACATTCTCCATTTAAAGGTAAATTTATCTGGGGTTTTTTTATTCACGAAACGTGTATTATCACATACACTTTCAAATTGTCATGATTTATGTAAGACTGCTCTGCTTACGTCACATTCTGCTTGCATATATTTATTATTTTTTTCACATTATCTTTATTAAGATGGAATATTATTATTCAAAATGGTGTCAGGTATTTCTTTTGTCATTCAATATATTATCTTAGGCAAAATATTAATGCTGTTCCATGGCGAAACCATTTATCATATACACCCATGTCTCCCATCGTAAATAGTTCATTCGTTTTTATTGTGAGCTTTTAATGATTAATGTTTAAACCGCATATCTTCGGATCACTTGTCCAAATATTTATTTCATTATAAAAGTCAATTGTGTCTAAAGGGACATTTCTCTGCAGCAGATATATGAATATGTGCCCTGCATGGGTCAATGACCTATTAGGCCGTACTTGCTATTTCCTGACATCTAAAGGATGAACCCAAGAAATATGTCAGTTTTACCATGCGCAGTTCAACATTCTCCATAAATCATTAAGTGCTATGTTTAAGATAGTCTTTTTCGATACCATAAATAATTAACCAGGAAATTTAACTAAAAATAGTTTTCTGCCGTAGAACTGTCCCTTTAATGCTTACTCGTCCATTACGGTATATTGTACTATAGTAGAGGTTGTTGTTTGTAGATCCATCACATATCCTATCATTAATGGTATTCATATTTGTATAATAATATTTGTATATTAACAATGTAATATATTTTGATCAAATACATTATGTCGAATGTTGCCTTCGACTACTGTTTGGTATCATTGTAGTTTAGTAAAGAACTTGATTGATATTTTAAAGATGCATTATGCTAGATTTAGATAAAGAGATGGTAGTTCTTGCTATAATAATTTAACATATATTGAAAATTTCCGCCAAATTACTTTAGTCTGAGCGAAGGTTTGACAAGCAATGGCTTAGTCTTGATTATCAAGTATCACTGCCACGATAATAAATGACGTCCATATTAACGTTAAACAAATATATGGCAGATATTGTCTAATCCACTCAATGTTACGACCACCCAATAGTCTAGAGGGTTGGTTATTAACCTGTCATGCAAATAATATTATACGTTAAATAATAATTTATGTAACATTTGAAGTCAGAAAAAAGACCGGCAATAGACATATTTATCTTTTACATAATGCATCTTAAAAGATCTTGATGATGGAATTTTTGAGTTCCAATACACAGTAAGCTAGAAAAAAAAGAGGAAAGGGGTATGTGTGTGGGTGGTGGTGGTGGTGCCGGAGGGGGGGGGAGTTCATCCAGCCCCCTCTATCAGAATGAAACATGAATATACGAAGTTAATCCAACCAAGTCCACCCGAATGCGATCTTACTTTCCCATAGTTGTCAAGAAATTCCTTGTTTGGAATTTTCTAGCTTAGGTCAGCAAGACGTCTGTATTGCAATTATCCTAAATCATTTTTAGACTTCAAGTATAAATATTTCTAAATGTGGAATCAGTACGCTAAACAGATAGAATACTCTGGACGAGAATAGAAAATTGAGCGAATCAGTTACATATTTATGTATGGGAAAGTTTTCTGATAGTTGCACAGTGAGATCGGGTGTCCGAGGAAAAGTGGGTCTGTGCTGTCTAGCGCCATATCTCTAAAATTGATGGAATCAATTCCAGTTCATGAATAATCGCTCGAATATCGCTTTAATACTCGAAAGCCATAGAACGATTATACAAGTACAAACTTAGTTGACATATGATGACATTAATATATAATGTATTATCTGTGTAGATTTTTTATTAATAGAGCGTGTGACTACCTATTTGATTTTATATATTGATAAACTTAGCGACCGCATGCTTGATCAATACTTCTACCACTTTTTACATTGACATTGTAGTCCTGTCAAGTCGACCTATCAGTTTTGTAATATGGTTGTATACTCGATAAAAGACAAGTGTTAGCGAAATATTTAGTTGTTAGCGAAATATTTGAGTTTTTGATAAGTTAAGGGGCAGCATCGCAAAATAATTAAATGAATAGGGTGTACTGAATACCGAATAAATTTATGTACAAATAGAGTTTGATGTTATACCAAATCATAAGCATTCTTTAATTGCTTGATTGTTATGTTATTAGAACAATTATTATTTCAAAATGTTTTCAAATTGATCAATTCTAAATAGTTCGAAGCTTCTGTGTTCTATTTCATCTCACTCAACATCTTTAGGCGTGAGAATCTTAAAGGAATAATTTAAATTTGTGTCATGCTGTCATGCTGTCATGATGGTTTTTATTATTATGAAAATATCCAGAGACAAGCGATGCTATAGAAATCGACATTCTTTTCTTTATTCATGATTGCTGTGAAATTAATTCCACATTACAATGAAGATTTATTGATTCCAAGATCCTAGCAATGAAGAAAGCCTTTCTTGTTTGTCTATCATATCCCATACAGACACCATGTAAAGAGAAACAAACCACAATAGATTTTCAATCGATTTCATTCAAAGACACTTTGCCGTTTTTCAATAGGGGATCTGGAAGATTATGTAAACTTATTGACTATATAATAAAAACAAGTGTCTTATTGATTTGACATAGTTAAAGCTGTCATGAATATAAAGGTCTGTTTTAGATACTCCACTGTAGCAGTAATGAAATGCAATGGGCTTAGTGTCCTACTGACACACTGTATCCGCTGGATAAGGACCACTTTGATATGACTATCTACGTTAGCACTTACATTATATTAAAGTACCACGTCTACCTCGGTAACGTCAAAATTTTATTAACGACCAAACTTAATTTGATATGCCAGTTTAATATCTAGCCTGTGAGTCAATGGAAATTTAGCTCATAATTTTCGGCTCCTCCAACTGTTTGACGGTGGCAATCACACAAAACTTTAGCTTAATGCAGCTTCAATGTACGGATTCCTTAGGCGCTTGACACTACAATGCAATGACAACGCAATGAAAACGCACCATTGATTTGACTGGAAATGGTGGCTAGAAACAATGCCGCTAAAATTTTATTTTTGTCATAATTTTGTAGGCTGGACATGTACCAACAAAGGAACATCAACGACAAACTAGGGAGACCAACAGTGATACGTAGGCACAAGGGCTAAACATCTAAAGTAAATAATGTGTAGGCTCACTTCTAAAAGCCACAGACACCATTCAGTCGTGTTGCAATGCTGCTTCCAGTGGCTCTGGTGCTCATACCTTCCGGAATTAACGCCAAGGGTCGTTCGCTTTCCGTGTTCAGGTGTCAACCTTGCCATATTGTTGCGACTTCCATAAAAATTTTAAATGCACTTCCTATATAAAATCGTGATTTTCAACATGCCCATAGTGAGGTTTTTTTTTGGCGCCACCGTGAAACATCATTTCTTCGTGGCCGACACCAGATTTACAATCATCCATTCATTGAAGTGTTGTGTTTGTATTGCGTCTCAGTATATATACATACCCGTTAGATGTAAGCTAAGGTCGGTGAGTAATTAGAACCGAGCCAATGGACATTCTAGTTTAAAAGTCCCCAAATCATTCTGAAATAAATTCAATTCCTTCAAAACCTATTCTCGTGTGGTCGTGACTGGTTGTTGCATGTACCCTATCGTTGATTTACGAGTAAGGTTTAAGGGAATGTTTTGTTTCTGTGTGTCTCTGCCCTTCACGCCCAACAATTTTTTTCAATGATTGGTATTTTAAGGATAAAGATAGAAATTAATCTGAATAACCCTAAAACATGAAGGTGAGTATTTTGCTAGATTTTTATACAGGGAAAATATTAATACGTTATATTTTATTTTCTAATTCAGTTTAAAAATGGAGAATCGATTGATGGTAAAGTGATGGATTTTTTTCATAATCAAGGTGCTGGTTATAGATACTTATCTAGAAGAAATATGAATGGAGCAGGTAAATAATAGTCACTTTATCTCCTATGATCTGACACGGGTGTCTTTGGCAATAAGGAGAGTGCAACCTACAATAATCCATCATTGACAAAGAATGACTACTGTCCTCTGCACCAATCGGCAAATGTGCGATGAGGGAAATTTTGCCAGGTCAGCATTCGAATTCTATCTGCCACCAGTTCTTTTAGGTGCACGACCTCGTTTTTCCTCCACATCCGAACGACTAGATCACGTCCCTTCCATTAACACATTAACAAAGCTTCTATTTGTCCATTGTCAAAGAGATGGTTCGTTCTTCTATTAAACTGATAACTGGATGGGCACTTTTGAGCTTTTCGGAAATATTCGTCGTAAAAGACATAAACTGTGTTCAGTTCTTGTATGGAAAGATTGTCCCCTAGTTTAGTCTACCCCGAAGTCGGCTTCGAGATCGTACCCCGGGGATGGGGGTTGGAGGAGAAAACAAATTAGAAAAAAACCCCACTTTACCACGGTTAAGAGTATCGATGAAATGATGACATTCGGAAACGTTACTTAAGGAACAGGCGCAATTGGGGATGCTGTTAGATTAATGATGTGGAATGTGGTCTGATTGTTTCTGGAGTTTATATTAGTTACATTTAGTGTATTTTATTTTGTTTCCAGGGAGATCTCGAGAATTTGTAGATGGTCATTCACAATTCATGCAGGATGTTAAACCCGTTATAGGCTATAATGGTCAGTTTGGTTACAGACGAAATACACCTTGGCTCAGAGAAAGTCCTTCGCCATTTGGTACCAGCTCGCGTTCCCCTACCAGTTGAACTATACAAAGTATAAAATCCTAAAGAAAACTTTATTTTTAAATGAGAAATCGATCTGTGAGAAGGATAGCATATAAAAAACATTAGTGTCACTGTCAAATCAGATCGAATTTTGGGTGCATAATGCGAACCATTCTTTATATTTGAAATTAACTGTTAATTTTCCGACCATAATTCCTGATTACTGTACAAACATTTTTGGTGAATCAGTTTGAATTTTTTCTTTGTTTTTTTTCCTGAGAACTATCGCAAATCATGTTTACGTGAAATATGTTTTATTTCTTGATTTACAACAAGCATACAATATTTCTGATTATAATGGTAGTACAATCTTCGTTTTGGTATTCTTTTGATTACCAATCTGAATTTTCTCATTCACGAGGAAGTAATTCATGTTTATTAAAATCAATTTCGTATTATCTTTAAGTGAGATATGTTTTATTGTTCATTTACTTTAAACAATCATAGTTTCTGATTTTGTTGGCAGTACAATCATTTTCTTGTGAATTAGTTTGACGTTGCCTATTTGCAAAAATCTGATTACATGAATTTTCCTGCCAAAATTCAAGTTACGGTTCGTGATTGTTTTAGACCGTGTTTTGACAGTAGAATAATATTCACTGTTAGCTTGTTGCATCAATAATTTAAATCTGTTGTTTAATTTATTAAGCACGATAATTTTTTTTATTTATACATGTATTATAATAAATTAATGTTGTTTTCATTGATCGTATATTTTATAGTATTATTTATTAATCAGTATTATTGTTCATATTATGACTAGAATAAAATGTATTGTAAATATTCATCATGTTGGTGTTAAGAGGGGGGTTGGATGGCCGAATGGTTAGTACGTGCGCGCTGTATCATAAGGCCCGTCATTGAGTCAACTGGCGTGGTTTCGAATCCCCGGTTGTACGTGACAAGGAGTAGGGTCGCCTGTCCAACCTCGTTGGTTTTCTCCGGGTCCTCCGGTTTCCTCCCACTGCTAAAGACCCCCACGCACAAGCGAATTATTGAAATAAAATTAAACCATATGTTAGTCCCGAAATGACCTAGTTTGTGTCGAGTGGACGTTAAACCCCATTTCTCTTTCTGGTGTTAAGTGCTGTCCAATGGGCCTGCCACCATTTATAAATGACTGTATAGGATGTCTGTTCCGCGCCTAAAAAATTGACGAGCCCATGCCCCATTTCGTATATACACGTGTAAAAATTAAGAAATACTTACTACACGTCGGGCCATTTTCTTTGGTAGCAGCGTACCAAAGGGTGTGTGGGGGTTATACTGATTCTCTCTCGGTATAGTAGAATAATACAAAACACAAAACAGTATGTTTGATATCTATTGTGTTGTTTATTTCATGGCACAATCTCTAGCTACGCCACATTCTGTGAGTCTCTGGTGGTAGCTTAGAGGTGATGAGGCTAAGTAAAACAACAATTTGTCAGCTGTGACATCATCAAATGAGAAATGATCTTTCCGACTTGCTCCAGTCAAGGCCTATTAAATGTGGCCTTTTAAACCAATGTTCTCGAAGGGAATGTTGCTTGTTCGTTCGTTCGTTCGTTGGTCTTAACGCCCGCTTCCACATTAGTTGTTCCAAATATCACTTCAGTTTTTAGTCGTGGATGCCCACAGTAATGTATGACATTCAACATTTACGAAATATACTTTTAAAATCTAACTCCTATAAAATTCAACTCATGTCTTCTTACACCTACGTCCCTTTTGTCAATTTAATCGAAAATGGTTTTTTTTCTGTTACCAATTGATAAGTTCTAGCCCACTCAACGAATCGACACTAGAAGGGCATCTAAAGAAAAACGAGGTTACAGCATTTATTTTTGTTGGAAGCAACCTTAGAAGGGCCACCCTTCAAAGACAGACCCGTTACAATTCGATGAGCACAAAAAATAGTGTACCTGACGTACTAATAATGTTCAATGGATGCACACTGAACTATCAATCTGTTTGTCGAAGAAACAGACTAGTTCGCAACCAGTGAAGGGTGATGGTGTGTTCCAACGGTAGGTCTTAAAGCCAAGAACTATTGCAGATTTCGTCATAGGTCGCAAGATATGGCGTGATTGTGTAACTTCTGACAACGAGTGGCATGACAGTCATTTATACCATTGGCTACAAGTACTAAATTATGATTCGAATAGTTTTCTAGCACTAGCAAATATAGGTTGCCAGGCAACGAAACATACGCCCACAGCAGCTAAATCGTCCGGGCAGTCAACAAGTGTTGTCGCATATTTTTACTTCTTTCGGTAATGAAACATTTATAATACACTCATGAAGTAATTATCAGAAAACCATTAGAATTTGTTTGGTTTTTAATATCATGGATTTAGCTGTTCAAGTCATAAAAATTCATTGAAAATCAATATACTTGTTCGTCTCAAGCTCTTAAACTCTGTGTATCAATCTTAAGTCAATCGGATGATAACTTTAGCCTATAGAGCGTCACAAGATTTTTCAAAGTGATCAAGGGCCATAACTGTGACAGTAATTATCGAAAATCACTGAAAATGATTAGACTACTTTGTCTCATGACCTTAAACACTGTGTATAAATTTAAAGTCAACCGAATATTGACTTTGGCCTCAAGAGCGTCCACAAGATTTTTCAAAGTGATCAAGGGCCATAACTCTGGCAGTAAATATCGAAAATCACTGAAATTGAATAGTCTTCATCTCATGACCCTAAACACTGTGTATAAATTTAAAGTCAATCGGATATTAACTTAAGCCTTTAGAGTGTCCAAAAGATTTTTCAAAGTGATCAAGGGCCATAACTCTGGCAGTACTTATCGTAAATCGCTGAAAATCAATAGGTTGCTTCGTCTCATGACCTTAAACACTGTGTATAAATTTAAAGTTAATCGGATATTAACTTTGGCCTCTAGACTGTCCACAAGATTTTTTTGAAGTGATCAAGGGCCATAACTCTGGCAGTAATTATCAAAAATCACTGAAAATGAATAGACTTCTTCGTCTCATGACCTTAAACACTGTGTATAAATTTAAAGTCAATCGGATATTAACTTTGACCTCTAGAGCGTCCATAAGATATTTTGAAGTGATCAAGGGCCATAACTCTGGCAGTAATTATCGGAAATCGCTGAAAATCAATAGGCTTCATCACTTCATGACCTTAAACACTGTGTATAAATTTAAAGTCAATCGGATATTAACTTTAGCCTCTAGAGCGTCCACAAGATTTTTTGAAGTGATCAAGGGCCATAACTCTGGCAGTAATTATATGAAATCGCTGAAAATCAATAGGCTTCTTCGTTTCATGGCCTTAAACACTGTATATAAATTTAAAGTCAATCGGATATTAACTTTAGCCTCTAGAGCGTCCACAATTGCTTGTTGACGTCGGCCCGACCGACGGACCGACGACAATATACGACCACATTTCAATGTGGGCGTATAAAAATTGCACGTAGGACAAATTTTTAAAATGTTTATTTTTAAATTAGTTTTTATTAAATTCAAATATTCAAAACATTTGTTAAACATTTAAAGATACAACAATCATATTAATAGAATAACAATATAATAATAAAATAGCCTAGCCTAAAAGCTTGATACTGAAAAATAATTAAGAAAAATATCCAATAAAATATAAAATTTCCAAAACTAAAAAGATCTACACGGTGTGGTTGTCATAGAAAATATATGGGACTGTCTTTTTTTTTATTCTTCATCACTAATTTCCTTACATTCCTAACCCCCTTTTTTCTGCTTGGGTATGGGGGGGTGGGGGTATCTATGTGTCTATTCCCTCTTATTTTTGAAGAAGTCAACAGTAGCCTGAGGTCTCCAAGATGACACTCTTTAATTACCTTTGTTAGAAAATGTCAACCAATCAAATGGCTTATCACTCTGCTTAACCCCAGTGGTAAGGTATTGGTGTAATGAAACTATACACCAAGATTCCCCCTTTTCACTCAATTAGAATCAAAGTTTTCCTGAAAGATTCTATATTAAAATGCCATGGGAGTGAAAGAATTTCCCTTTCTTTTTTAAAAAAATATTTTAGCATGAGTATATTTTTGTGTGGGTCTCTCTTTGAAACAGACCCTGTATTGAAAGGCAAGTACTGGTTAGTATGAATTTTCCATTGCACTAGAATGAACCTTTCTTCATATTTGCCCCAGACATATATGTTTAGAATAGGCTACCTCTCTATCACAGGAGTAGCTTACAACATACATAATTAGCACATACCTGCTATATCAATGTATACAATAACTTATACCCTCCGATATTTTAACCACGTACTAGACCCACAGTACAACACACAATAAAAACATGCATTTAACCTCAAGATATGGTCTGTGTTCAATTTACCTATCGGCTTAATTAACAGTGAAGCCTAGGGTCTCAAAATCAAGGCTTCCAATCAAGGTGTATAAGATTTTTGACACTGTCATTGACCCTTCTTTTATGCACAGTAGTCTTTAACCCCTGCGGCCTTGGATTTGCTCAATTTTCTTTAAAACAATCTTCCATCTTCCTCTAGTCATGTGAGTGGGGGATTGGGTGTGGCCTCACATGTGGAATCGTCTCTCTTCATCTAAATCTGGTACTGGATATGGGTCCTTATTAATTACCAAAACGTAGACTCAAATGTTTTAAGAATACCATCGATTTACTAGCCATTATATTAACTCCTAGCCAATGGAAAAGCAGTATCTTTAAACATTTTTGAAGTTTTTCGGGAATATGTGGCCAAGGACTACATACATAAAACGATGACAATTTAATTAATTGGCATAAATCAGTTGAAGTGTTTTAACATATCTGTTGTTGCTTTAGAAATCAAAATAAAAGTTTTAAATAACAGAAAATATGAAAAGCAAAAAAGCAAAATTTTGATTCAGATTTTGTGGTTTTCAAACAAGTAATAGCTTAAAGCAACATTAGGTAAAATTATATAAAGAGCTGACAGTTCTTGCTACAATTGCTAAAAAATAGATAATGAAAAGAGAATATTTCGAAAATTTCAGTCAAATTACTTCACTCTGAGCCAAAGAATTCGGGATGAAATTATCCATTTTTACGGTAACCGCATCCATCAGAAAAAGTATTTGAATCCACTAAATATTGCAAGCATCCTATGGTATCGAGAGTTTATTATGGTCTTGGTAAGTTAACTAATGTCTAATTAATAATTTAAATAACATTTCCGGCCTAAAGAATGACCTGCAATAGGCAGATTTAGCTCTCGATAATGGATGTTTAATAATATATATAAAAAGACGTTCATAAGTGTTGAGAAAATATCTAAAGATAGGTTGCCAGGCAACGAAACATACGCCCACAGCAGCTAAATCGTCCGGGCAGTCAACAAGAGTTGTCGCATATTTTTACTTTTTTCGGTAATGAAACATTTATAATACACTAAAATCTGATTAAGAGCAACAACTCAGAAAACCATTAAAATTTGTTTGGTTTTTATAAAGTTCTGCCCCATGCTAACGTTTTGTATACAAAACTTTTAATACTGTATCATGGATTTAGCTGTTCCAAGTCATAAAAATTCATTGAAAATCAATATACTTGTTCGTCTCAAGATCTTGTGTATCAATCTGAAGTCAATCGGATATTAACTTTGGCCTCTAGAGCGTCCACAAGATTTTTCAAAGTGATCAAGGGCCATAACTTTGGGAGTAATCATTGGACATCGCCGAAAATCAATAGGCTTTTTCGTCTCATGGCCTTAAACACTGTATATAAATTTAAAGTCAATCGGATATTAACTTTAGCCTTTAGAGCATCCACAAGCAATTGTGGACGCCGGACCGATGGACGGACGACAATATACGACCACATTTCAATGGGGGCGTATAAAAATGCTGATAAGAATATAATTAAATAACAAAGGTTTTTCAGCAATAGAAGAAGTTAGCACTAATAATTTCAAGTTTCAATCTTTTGTTGCTTTATAACACAACCAAGATATTTTGTCAAACAAGTACTCACAGCCATTCTAATAATAATAAATATAACTATTTTCACAATTATTGTAAAATATATTTTTCAATTTATCACAGGTTTAAGCCTGACACACTCAGTATGGTAGGAGTATATGATGCACAAAAATATAGGTCTCTTGATAACCAGTTTGCCATTGTTTCCAAAGAATTCTAATTTTAAGAGGTTTATTTTAGACTAATAGGGAGGTTCAGATGCACTCGAGAATGAGGTGATTCCCTTTTTGCATGCTACATGTACGTCATCACTTCTCGAGGGCTTTCCCCACGATGGTGAATTCTGTGGTAGTTTAGTTCTATTTTTATACAATCTTTTTCATAATTATACCGAAACACATCCCTTTCAAATATACCAGCCTTTGTTAGGTAGGTACTGTTTAACTGGTTGAATAGAAGCGTACCAATAGAACAAATCGACTCTTTCAAACAGTGCACTTTTTGCTTGATTCACAACGAACTGACCATCGCGTTTTGTCAAGAATGTGGATTTTTCTGAACTGTGAAAGTGCACCACGTTTTCCGAATACGACGACGATTTCACCTTGTTCTCAGAACACATCTGAACCTCTCCATGGACCTTATAAGGTCCATGACCTCTCAAATATCAATTAATGTGTGCTAGATATTATGCATTTTATAAATAACTTTGAAAAATAAAAAAAAAATCGCTTTTGAAAATATAATTTGCACATAAGATAATAAAATGCATGTCAAGCTGTTGAAATATGTTGCTAAGAATTATTTTTATTTTTTTTATGGAGAGCTTGTGCTGCCTCAGTTTGTCGTAATCTTTCTGCTTCACCTGGTATTTGACCCAGTTTACCTGCTCGATAATCTTCTATAGCCTACAATTTAATTTATTATATAGCTGTACTGTACATTTAATACAAAATTCTATATAACTGCAACACAAAACAGAACTAACTATACAGTAAAGACAGTGCCAATAGACAGACATCACTATTGAGAAGACAATAACATTGTAATAGAATCACATAATTTATTTATGCACAAAAACAGATGCTTAACAAAATTATATTGATGGGAAAGTATATTTCTACTGATCAGAAAAAAAAAAAATATAGACTTCATTATCAGCTTTAGATTTCGGAACACCAAAGTTGGGGAATGTATATTTAAATGTTAAATTTTATGGATGAGATTGATGTCAACCCATAAATCCTTTACTTTATTTTTTTAATTCATGTTTAATTCTAATTTTTACTCCTCAGCAACACCAAGTTATTATGAGGATTATCAATTTTAATGAACTACCACATGTGTTAAGAACAAAAGATTTCTAGATTTTTATTATCAAAATCCTTAAAAAATTGAGTCATGGTCTCATTTAAATATGATTTATTCATATTTTTGTAATACAATATAGTCTATCTTTCAAAAATCAGTTTCCAAATTTATAATATTTGTTACCTGTAAGATTTCTTCCTGAGTGTTCATAACAAAAGGCCCATAATTAGCAATTGGTTCTTTAATAGGCTTTCCAGCTATTAACAATGCATGGCAATCTGTAAAATATCAAAACAAACACACTGAGGTAGCTGTGGTTCCCAAAGTTATGAAGAGATCTGGTGATACCTGGGGAATACCCTTTGATATACTCACGTTTGCCCTTAGCTAATTAAATATGCATAGATGACATTGATGTGCAAATTTATATGCTATTATGAAGATTTATCAAAATCACTCACTCAACTAGAAGTGCAGTTCACACCACATTTCAGATGATCAACCCATCAGACTGCAGTAAGTTAATAACAAAATCTGCATTCAATTTAGGGTAGACACTTGAAAATACATTATGCAAGACTAGAGCTAAATCCGATTATTGCAGGTCTTTCTTTAGGCCTTAAATATTATCTAAATTATAAATTAGACATTTATTAACATCACACGACCATAATCAACTCTCAGTGCCATGTGATGGTACGATTTTCAACAGATTTGAATCTAATCTGGTGTTCAACGGCCGTTGATGATTAACCATAAAGATAGGTTGCCAGGCAACGAAACATACTCCCTTAGCAGCTAAATCATCACATATTTAATCTTTTGTAGGTAATGAGGAAAATTTTCAAGACAATTTCAAACAGATCAGATCATAATTTTCATGCTTTGAGGGTTCACAAGTACCATAACACTAGTGGCAATTGACGGGAATTGCTGAAATTCAATATACTTTTTCGTTTCACTTACTCAAATGATGCATATAAATTTCATACAGATCAACAAAGTGAAACAAGGGCTATAACTCTAGACATAATTAACGGAAAATTATTAACATAATGCATATATTTTTTTTACAGATCGGATGATAACTTTTGTCATTACAAGGTTCAACAAAGTGAAACAAGGGCCATAATACATAACTCTAGACGTAATTAACAGGAATTGCTGAAATTCATTAGGCTTCTTCATTTCATTAATCTAACTAATCCATACAGATTGAATGATAACTTTTGTCGTTAGAGCATTCACCAGGTTCAACAAAGTAACACAAGGGCCATAACTCTTAACATAATTAATGGAAATTGCTGAGATTCAACAGGCTTTATGTTTCACTAATTTAAATAATGCATATAAATTTAATACAGATCAGATGATAACCTTTGTGGTTAGAGCATTCAAAGGGTGCAACAAAGTGAAACAAGGGCCATAACTTTAGAGGTCATTTACGGATTTTGCTGAAATTCAATAGGCTTCGACTTTTCACTAATATGCATATAAATTTCATACGGATCAGACGATAACTTTTGTTGTTACTGCATTCACAGGGTTTGACAAAGTGAAACAAGGGCCATAACTCTAGAGATAATTAACGGAAATTGCTGAAATTTAGTTAACATTTATTGCATTTCAAAGACTTGAATAAAGAAATGTCTGCAGGCTACTTAAATATGCATTCATAGCATTGATGTGATAATGAATATTGTAAATATAACCAGTAGCAGTTTATTTTATATATACCTTGCCCATCTTCTGCTCGAATCATGAACTCTGACCCTGTTTCACTTAATAATCCGACTTGACCCATGTGAGCTGGCATTTGATTGTGACCTAAAAATCCTGTAATTAAATTTAAATGAAATTTAAAATACATAAAATAATAACTGAAAACAGAGCGCTTTAAACATGGTATGTTTCTCTCTTATGCCGATGAACTGTCCACATCCACGACACAATTAGTATTGAAACTTGTATATTTGAATATTCGTTTATGATTACAAACTTACAGATAGTTAGCTACTTTGTGATATTCGCAGGACTTTTTTTGGCACATTTGACAAATTTCCCCAAATTGGCCTCCGCACTAGAAAGGGGTTCCCCAGCTCACAGCTTAAAAGTTTTCCAGGCCTTCCAGGTGTGGCTATTTTCAGCCATTAATCATGATCACTAATTGTGAAGTAAAGCATAGTTCCCCTTAAATATGAATGAATATAGGCCTAGTTAAAGTTATTCATATCCTGCAATGTATTCATATCCGGTAACTTTGGGCCTCCCAAATTGGGCCCTGCATAGCCGTCTATATTATCTCAACTATTTGTTTCATTTTTCTTGGTCCTCACTAGTACCAGATAGTTTAACTAACCACAATATTAAACAGCTAATATGGTTAATTTACCTGCTCCTCTCCAAACATAACAGAAACCATTATGAGATGTAGGTATTGTATAAGTAAATGTACTTCCTGCCTCTAGATGTATATCTAACATAGTAATAGGTATTTTAGTTTCTATAACAGCATTTACTCCTGAAAAAAAACAACATTAGGTAGTTTTAAAAAGACATTAAAATAGATACATTAGGTAGTTTCAAATAATATGTAAGCCTACAGTAGCTCTTAATATTTATATATTGAACATTTATTTGTCACAAAAAATCTCAAGATATATTCTGATGAAGACTGGCTATAAACAAAATTTTAAGTTAAATTAAACAGCTACTTAAATTTTGACAGATATATGTTTATATTTACATTTGCATTTTAAAACAATCCCACATATTTTGTCACAATCCCCAACCTATATTTCATTTATATTTAAATGTGTTTTAGGCAGAATATTTATGTCTCGATAATATGTGCTTAAGACACAATTTTCAATACAATGTTTATGTTTATAATATGAATATGTGTAGATATTTGCTATAGATGCAAAACATGCAATACTCGCTTAAAGATAGGTTCGCAAAAAAGTATTTATCGGGTGGTGATTTCCATTAAAAGTATTGCAATTTTGGTATATATGGAAAGTAGAGATATCCAATCTTACTAGAAAAATACTGGATTCCCTGAAAAACACTCATGGAGCGTATACAGGACAAAAATGTAAGGGTTCCCTAATCGACAGCCCGACGATTAAGAATACCTGCACGCGTGACGTTGAAAGAGAGAGAAATTTGTGGTTTAACATCCACTTAACACAAACTAGGTCGTTTTGGGACTAACATATGGTTTAATTTTATTTCAATAATTTGCTTGTGCAGTGGGAGGAAACTGAAGGACCCGGAGAAAACCCACGAGGTTGGACAGGCGACCCTACTCCTTGTCACGTACAACCGGGGATTCGAAACCACGCCAGTTGACTCAATGACAGGCTTTATGATACAGCGCGCACGTGCTAACCATTCGGCCATCCAACACCCCCGTGTGACATGTTGATAAACTTTATGAAGAGTTAGACGTACAACACTTTCTGAGATAAAAATCACAGAAAAAAACGCGGGCAGTGGATAATCCGAGAATTTAATTAGGATTCGATATTTGTAATAAATAGTCAGCGATTAAAGACAACATCGTCTTGTGTATACAATGAATTCTCCTCTGACTTCGCCCCCATTGCTATAGGTACCGAGAGAGGTAAGTCACATGACACAAACATGACCACTTTTGATCAATTTTTATAACAGGGTATTCCTTGGCAATTACAATGTATTGAGAAGGATTTGAAGCATAAATTAATTAGTTTGAATATGTTTTTAGTCCAAATATATCATCAAATCACCCAGTTTGTACGCGGGAATGTATCTTTAATGTTAATAATATGAATATGTGTAGATAATTGCTTTAGATGCAATACCCAAATGCTTTTTCTTTTATGCATTTACTTTAAAGTTTCTGAGCATGATTTTAACGATACAGCCATAGGAATCCCTTGAAAACTACAATAAAAGATGAATCTCTAAATATCCGTCTAATAATGGTTCAATTCCAAGTCTTTATTTAGGCTTCAAATGTCATAGAAATTATAAATTAGATCTTTATTTACACAAAAAGCACAAAATAATTTTAGATCGAGGCTAAATGATAGATTGTACGAAGCGAGGAAGCTGTTGAGCGAGGCCGCATGTCAGTCAATTTGATTGAAAGTTCGATATATACGGCCTTGATATTATGTTTAGTTGTGGTTAAAATGAGAGTTTGGATGTCAGTATTATACGATCTTTTGTCACTTGCGTTTACAGAAAAATTATAGATATTGATAAACATCGCAGCTAACATCACCCCAGTTGAATTGCAGCTCCATTGGATCACTGTTCGGGAGTTACGTAGACCTACCAGTTACAGTACAAGAGTACACGCAGGCTAACAAGAAGTCGGCTATAATTATGCCTCATTGATTTGGTCCATTCCTTTCAAAATTTCGCTTTTTATCTATATATTAAAAGTCTTATTTTTAATTTGTAGTAAAAATAAATGTGATACGAATTGAATTGCAACCCCGTCTCAAACCACATCCATTGAAAACGTTACTTGATAATCGAGATTATGTAGGTGGAGTTAACATCTGTCAATCAAACGATCGTCCATTCTCGGAGACGGTGAAGAGAGATTTGACTCCTATTTCTAGTCAAAAAATTACAATAGTGATAACTTTGTTCAGAATAAAGTAATTTGACTGAAATTTTCAATATATTCTTCTTTCATCATCTATTTTTGAACTGTTATAGCAAGAATGGCCAACTCTCTATTAAAATCTCCCATAATGTATCTTTAATTAAATGTCATACTATAAATCTGAGTACATATTAGCATGGATTTGAAAAATGCAAATCATGCACAGTTACTTTAATACACTGCCCATTGTTTATTTAGACACAAATGTTTACTCTTGACTTGACCCTGGTTAGTTTCAAAACTATTATGACTTGTTAACCACTTGTGTTAAAGGGCATGTATCTGTTGTGTCAATAGTGGGTGGTGGACCTGCCCTTGACTGGGTTGATGATTACACACTTACCTCTACATTCCCCTGATATAACTTTAATAGTAACACGATTATCTTCTGTTTTAACAATGGGTATTTTCTCCGGGGGTGTATCTTGATATCGTGGTTCAATCATCTTAAACTAAAAGTATACATTTACAATCAAAATTTTTGAAAGATTTGACATAAATCAGAATTACATAAACATCAAAACTAATCCTGTCAATATTCGTATTTCCCCAAATGTATTAATTTGTTGTGAGTGGGGAGCTGCGGTGACTCTGTGAGTAAGACCTTGGCTCGCAAACCCGGGGGTAAGTGTATGGCTGAGAAAGGTCATCAGGATTGTCAGTGGTGCAGGACAGAGGGCCTGACAAAGGACAATGTACATTGTATAGTCATTTAGAATGGGATGAAAAGCTGAGGTCCTGTGTACACATTGGCATGCAAGAGAACCCTTTGCAGTTGGAATCTGATATAAGAGTAGGCCGTAGCACTGCTGTCTGAGCAAACTTGCCCTCATAGCACACTGTATGGTGTATGAACATCTTCATTAGAATAGTTGGGGCAGAACAGTAGGACGTTAAACCCTGTTTCATTTGATTTGTTGTGAGCTCTCTGATTGACAACAATATCATTAAACACATTTATGGTATCAGATGTATGCCATAATACTTATACTTATGTGAAGCAGGTGCCGACGTGCCATTCAACACCACTTAATTCATTCATTAATTACCTTCATGAATGGTTGGGACTTTTGTCTTAAGAATTGATCGAATGCACTGGGAACACATTGGTCAATTTACATGCTGTAAATTCAGCATATTATTCTCAATTTTATTTTCAAAATTAAACATGGATATGATCGAAAATTGCCATGTTCATTTGGCCTCGATTTTTTAGTTCATCCAAATAATCATATGCAGATCCTTACCAACCTCACAGGAGTTGCACATTTTCAAAATCCAGAATGTTTTTTATATAGCCCTTTGGGGGAATTGAACTTTAATCTAATGTAAAACCACTTCGAAATACTAATAGTAAGAGTATAGGAAAATACTTACCTTAGCAGGTAGATTAACCCACAATTGGAACCCTTCTGATTTTCCACCATTTTCCATGATGTCATCTGTTGGCATCTCAGAATGAACCACTCCCTTCCCTGCCGTCATCCATTGAACCCATCCAGGTTTTAATATACCTGATGAAAACAAAAGTAGATATGTTGCTCAGGGAAAAATACTTTATTGGACTGGAATAAACAAATAAGGAGAAGAGGGGGCTCAGTGAGTGAGGTGCTGGCTCACTAACCTGGAGATCCGGGGTTTGCTCCTGGTACTGACTGAGAAAGTTCCTCAGGATTTTTGGGTGTGGTTTCCCTTGTCATTAGATACAGGATGAAGGGTCGGACAAAGCATGGCATGATGGCATGTACAGTCCTTCATGTTTATAAAATTGTGCGGGAGCCATAAGAAGCTCCTGATACCTTGAATATATGCAGTTTAAAAGTAAACAAAAAATGAAAGTAGTTTATTAATCTCAATATTTAGGAGAGCGATTTAGCTAATTTGCAGGAGTCTTTAATGACTCCATCGAAGGAAAGCTGACATGCGTCGAGAGGAGCAGGAGCAAAAGCTCCCCTTAAACGTGAAGGACTGCATGTACTCATTCCGATGGGACATACACGTTGATGTGCATGTAAAAGAACCCTTGACAGTTGGTATATTATGCCTGTCTTAATTAACTGGTTGATGCAGAAAAGTAAGACATTAAACCACATTTCATTTCAGTTAACAAATTTGATATCATCAGTGAAACAAAATTTGAAAAGAAACTGGGGACCCAAGAAAAAGCCCACTCTGTGATGACATTACAATGCCTTGAACCATATCAACGCCCAACCCCACCCACTCATGCTTCTGATCGGATTCTAGAAGACCTACCTTTATTTCCTGCTGAATCTTGATGTTTGACCCCTCCATCAATTAGGTATGTAACAGTTTCAAATCCTCTATGGGGGTGGTCTGGCGCCCCTAATGCTTCACCTGGCTTATAAACAACTGGACCTGTTACAGAAAATAAAAAAAATCACAAATATTTATCTACCATGTTATGTGCAAATTTTTTGATTGTCAACTCAAGATACCGATGTAGGCTATGTTTAACTTTTAATGCATGAGTTGTTTTAAATGGTAGGCTTTACTTTTTTTTATTATGACGATGATTGTGAAATACCTCACAATAGAGTCAGTGCTTAGGTAAGTCTATAGTTATTTTGAATATAATATTATTTAAAATTTATCCCAGTTTTTGTGGGGCACGTTTGAAAATACCCCTTTTGCTTTTAATAAATAAATGAAATAAAAAATAATGTTTAAAATCTTACCAATGTGATCTAACATTAAAATTGGATCACAGTTTGGTATAACTGTTCCAATTACTTTCCTCACCAAAAAACCACCACCCTCTGTTTGTAATTTGGGCGTGGCAAGTTTACTAATTAGTCTGTGTGATGACTGAGACATTTTCTGAAAAAAAAAAAAAAAATTTATAGGTAAAATATCACTCATAAGTCAGTAGAGTGATTGTTATTTGGTATGTATTAATGTTTACTAATTAGTCTGTGTGATGACTGAGACATTTCCTGAAAAAAAAAAAAAATTTATAGGTAAAATATCACTCAAAAGTCAGTAGAGTGATTGTTATTTGGTATGTATTAATGTTAGCTTATATCATGCATTATGAATGACATAAAAGGAATCGTCATAACTTACTTATTATCTATGGAATATTAATTAACTAATCAATCGATACACATATCAACAATATTTACACCTGTCAAAGTTGACAGTTTGCGTAACCGGATATCAGTTATCTCCCCTCAGGTAAAATTATCTGCCGAGGTTTGCCGAGTGGCATGGGGGATGGTAAGATTCGGGCGTTCAACATGCATTATTTGTAGAATAAAAGTCAAGCACAAGATTCGATCAAGTCGACAACATATAAAGTCAAATGTTATTTTTTTATTGTTAACCTGTCGAGAGGTGGTATTGTAATGTCGCATATATAACAAATATTTAGAATTTGCAAACATATTTAGACAATGGACAGAGGAGTGGGGGTCCTCTCTAGCAAATATCAGCGCACAAACGTTCGGGTGGGACGTAAAACGAGATTAGGTCTATAGGTTGACATTGACGTAATAGAACCGTTGGTAGTTGAAATTCGACGAAAAGTAGGTGGAAATGTGACTGTCCGGAGAAAATTTCTCTCAAAGCATACTGCATTAGATTTAGATAAAGAGCTGACAGTTCTCTCTATAACAGTTAGAAAATAGATACTGAAAATGGAATAGGTTGAAAATGTCAGTCAAATTAAATCTACTTTATTCTGAGCCGAGTTATCGCCGTTATAAGAACAGCGTAGTCTTACTACCGTTGTTAAGATAATAAGTCTTGATTATCCAAATTTAAATTAAATCATTTCGATATTTTAAACTGTCATTCGTATTTTAATTTGTCGAAAATCTCGAGTATCTGATAACATCGAGGATCGATTATGGCTTTGATAAGTTAATAAATATCTAATTAATAATTTATATAACATTTAAGGCATATAGAAAGACCTACAATAGGCAGATTTAGCTCTTTAATAACGCCTCTTTGATAATTTTTCATAAAAAAAAGATATAAGAAAACAGACAAACCTACGAAATTTAATTAAAACACCTCCTCCTTCCTTCTATAAGTTTGTATCTTTGAGTCACTGCCAATAAACTGATATCTTGTGATCCGACCAGCTCCATATCGGAGATAATCTGTGTGATGGGGTATAGACAAAGTTCTCGGAGTGTTTGGAACACCCGAATGTTACCCGCCAATCGGCGCTACAATATTTAGCTTATTGCCTAAAAGATTAGTTACATGTTTTTAATGTGTGAAAATAACGTTTACTAATTTATGTAGACCTTAATCACCCTAAAGAGTAGCCAAGTAGTTTTAAAGTATAATAGATTCGTTTCGGTTTGCTATGTTTACATTCCCTAATTTGGGTATATCTACTTTCACTTTAGTGTTAAACTTCAACTTGTGACAGCTTTTATTTTTAACGCACAATACCAGAGCTTTACTCAGAATTAGAATTTTGTAACATTTGTTGTAAACACAGTATATTCAGAATGCAGGTAAATGTGTCACTGATGACTGGATTAAGACGAATGTTTTACCTTCTAACACCCGAGGAGGCGTCTTTTGAAGAAACAAAAGATGTTCCAAAATACATCAACGAAGTAAGTTATGATTATGAATTTCTTCAGCGTTGCCCTGTCGACAGCGAGTGGACTCGTAACGTATAGGATAATAATATATCCCCTATAGCCAGGCCGGGCTTTAGCCCCCCTCCCCCCCCCCCCCAATAATTTGACCGCAAGTACTCTTTTCTCCAGGTTATTGCGGCCCCTGGACCCTTGCCTATAAGGACCTAGGTTGGAAGCCCCCCCCCCCCCCCAATCAAGAATTGCTTCCGCCGGCCCTGCCTATAGCTTAAATTAGTTGCTATACCCAAGGAAGTATTTTCCACACAAAAATATCCAAAACAAACAAACAAAACAAATAAAAGGAAAATCTGATCAGCCTTTTAACTCAACATGGGAAAAATTGTATACTCCTAACAGCTTGTGACCCCCCCCCCCCCTCCCCGCCCCCCAATTATGACTTTATTTTTTAGCTTGAATCGTTTTTTCATTTCATTTTATTGCACACTATCTTCCCTCTCCCGGTTGGTGCAGAAAAGTATGACGTTAAGCCCCATTCATTTCATTTGTACCCCTTTTAAGTTCACATAATTCACCACTAAACTCTAGCAAGTTCACGTGGTCTGGCCACCGACTTAAAGTAGTTCAGATGTCAGACGAGAGCCCGAAATTTAAATGAAGTGTAATTGATTTTAATCAGATTGTTTTGCAATGGCTTTTAATCAACATATCAAATTCACTTGACTCGACTGAAATCGGGGACGGACGGAGTAGAGATTTGTTTGAAACAAAATCATTGAATATGATTAACGCCATTTTTCGGGACAGCCATGCAGTGATGAGATCAAAATTCCGATAAATTTTGTTTTTAGTTTCAAATTTGTCATTATTTTCGTTCTAAAACTTATTTCTATTTAACTTTCAGGCATTTCCGTTTTTTGTTTTGTTTATAGTAATAGAGTCAGGAATATCTATTTATAAAAAAGATAGAAAATATCGTCTTAATGACAGTATTACCTCCATTAGTGCTGGTCTCATGTCACGGTTACCAATGTAAGTTATTTATTATATTAAAGTTTCAATTTCATATTTTTAAGTTATATTTTTAAAATGTATTAAAATAAAGCCCTAAAATAGATGGTATCTATAAACAGTCCTACTTTGTTAAAGAATAATCCTATTAATCCTATTATTCACTATTGCCAGTTGAGAAATTGGCAAAAATATCATTTTCAACTTCAAATTCAAACGTTTGAAGATAGCTATTCCATGGTGGGGAATAGGAAAACAAGGGAGGTAATTGGGAGGTAATTGTGTTATTATTTCCGGTGTGAAGATTTTTAAGTGTGAGAAAGATAACCTATGATCGTATAATAGTGAGTTGACAACCTATTGAGCAAAAGACATAGAAATAATTATATTTTGACTTTCTAGAAAATATGCAATTGTAACTTTAACTGAGAATTAAAACAATTTATTATATAATTATATAATTTATGTGTTTATTATAAGAAACTATAGACATTTGGGATGCAGGAATTCGAAAAGATTAAAATCTGGGGTACCGGTACCCAAGATAGATTGTATACTATTCAAAACGTGTGACACATCTGACAGTCAATCTCTGATGTACAGATGTTTTAACTTTCATTTTACGGTTCGAACACATTATTATTTTTTTTGACTTCACGAACTCTGTTTAAAATACCTGATAACAAGATTGTTTAAATATAATGTTGTTTATAGGTGTAAATACATTTATTTTCTGGGTGAAAGTAAGAATTCCTCTATAGAACTTAGGCGCATGCAGGAGAGTAAAGTTTCAAGTCGAGGAATGGTGGTTTTGTTTCAGGATCGTCGTACCGTCTATAACAATGGCAACGTATGTATGGATATATAATACTTTTAATATTATAACTCTACCATGGAATTCTGCGTGGACATGGTGGCTGTGTTTTCTAGGAGTTGATCTGGGATATTATTGGTTTCACAGATTAGCTCACGGTAAGTTTTGTATTCCACCCGTCCCAATATAGGTCGTTATCATTTTCCAGAAATGATATCGGTTGCAATGCGAATGGAAAACATAAAAATGCCGTGTTTCGACGTTTTCATTGATGGCGCACAGCGTCAGTTTTGTCACCATGGCACACCCAGCACCCAGTGCATTTTAAACAGCTGCAGTATCTATAGCAATGGGGAGCAATCCCAGATTCACAGCATAGGGTAAACTGATAAAAAGTAAGCTTGTCTGAAAGTTTCAACCCAAAACGTAAAGAACTCTTAGATTTTATTTAAAAGTTTGTCTATTGATGTTTTGTTTTTATTATTGTAGAGGTAAATTTTATGTGGGCAGGTCACCAAGCTCACCACAGTAGTGAAGATTATAATTTTTCAACAGCCTTACGCCAGTCGGTGCTTCAAAATTATACCTCATGGGTAAGTAAATATCCGTCATCCATACCTGCTGTATCCGATACTGAGCTGTATTTATAAGCTCCACACAGAATAAATATACGGGTACCAAATCCAACGGACACGTAAATCAAAAGTACACTGTCACGACAGTGTTGGATGCAGCATATTCGGATAGGGGTGGGGTGTCTCTGAGAAAATTTAGAAAAACGGGGGTGGCAATGGTGATTTGTGGCACGTATCTGCACCCGAATATACATACAATTTCACCACCGACAACCTCACTATACTGCAACTAACAGAAAATTCAAATTTACGCGGTTCATCGAAACAGAAAAAAGTAACCTTTGTATACTTATGTTTCACAACCCACACGGTACCCTGTCGTAGCGCCGCTGTCCGGGCAAAATTTCTAGCACACTATATGGCGTATGCCCATGCAGTCGGTGCAGCAAAGTAGGACGCCCCGTTTCATTTCATTTCTATTTCTTTAAATTTAGGTATTTTACCTTCCACTGGCTTTGTTTATACCACCATCTGTGTTCCTGGCACACAACGAATTAAACATACTCTATCAATTCTGGATACATACTCAGGTAGTACATTTTCTTCAAACCTTTTATAGGGTTTCCATTTGTCAGGCTGAATATTTCCTCGTTGAGCTGCCGTGGAAACTATAACATATTATTTATCAATAACCTGTTCACCTGTTGTAATCAGTTCAATCGTTTACCCTTTACATGACAAATGTGGGTTTTTTATATCTTAAAACTAATTATTTTTCGAGATATCATCATTTGAAGATAAATCGAGTTCCAATGTATACCTCTACGTTAAAGGTCGCTTGACAGTAGGAGATCGATATGAGTAGGATGTATGTCCGTCCCCTGTAGCCTTATATATCCAGAAAAGTAAGACAATCCAACTTGATGATTGTGATATATTTAGGGTCTGGGGACACCTTATATGTAATGGTAGTATTTTTATTGCACATTTTCTTACAGTATATAAAGTCTCTAGGACCACTAGAATATATATTAAATACACCTAGTCATCATAGAGTGCATCATGGTAGAAACAGATATTGTATTGATAAAAACTATGCAGGTACTTTAATTATCTGGGATCGAATATTTGGTAAGTTTTTTTTATTTCTTATGAAAGCAAACAACAATAAGCTTCTTCATTTAAATGAGATAGTCAATACATATCAATTTCAAAAATATGTATGAATTGTTGTAGCCTCTATGATACTAACATGGAATGTAAACGACAGACAGGCGGCAAGGTAACAATATACGACCACAATCAATGTGGGCGTATTAAAAGGTCGTAATACTAATATTAGAAACAAGATATACCTGTATTGTTGGATCTATGACGTACTCTTGGCAGTTTTAAAGTCATTTTAGTGGCTTGCATTTTATCTAGTTTTGTGGAAGAAATACAAGTTACTACTAATATACTACAATATAACGTTGTGTGTGGTGCTGTTGTCCCAATCAATGGCCACTCTTTAGCGATACATTAAAATATGATATATTTTTGCAAGACATTCTGTTTTAGGAACTTTTGCTCCTGAAGATGAGGAAGTGGTGTATGGGTTGACGCATCCCTTGGGTACGTTCGACGCTGCAGAGGTTCAGGTAAGCTAGAGTTTGAAAATTGTATTGAAAATTGGTGCTCACCATACAAAAACACAACACAATTCCCCAAAATGTGAGTAATTTAGAGGTTTTAATAGGCGTTTTAGTGGGCACACCCGCCATTACTTAATGCTAATTGGATCACAATTCAAAGGACCGAACTGCCCACAGGGCCATAACTAGCTCAGAGCAACGATGGGCCGGGGCGGGGGCGGGAAGTGTTTTCAGGGGTGCCGTAGAATTGACGGACAATGTATATCTATTTTTTTAACGGTGGACAATTTTTTTACCCCTAGTTACGGGCCTGACTGCGCATAAGATGACCATGGTCATCAGCGGTCACAAACAAAGCTCTTCAAATACGAAACTATACAATAAACCTTTGTAAACGTCTGAAAATAATACCAAAAAAGAACCATAACCTACTCCGTTAACACTATACTCTCTCTGTGATCAAAATTACTGACTCATGGTGTAAATTATTTTCAGATAGCCTATCCTAGATATGTAATAGAGAGACTGGGTGATATGACCAGTGTAGGTGATAAATTCAAGTGTATATTATATGGACCAGGCTGGTCACCGGGTAAACCACGTACCGGCGAGATTGGGGACATTCCAGATGTAAATACATCTAAGTTATATATCACAGGAAACTGCTATACATGTATAATATTATACTAAACAGACAATTAAACTAATGCAATGATTTTTATATTCTAAATTTAAAAAAAACAGAATTCATGTTACTTTTTGTATGGTTTCTAAAAACAATAGAAAATTGATAATGACATTAATGAAATTCTTGGCAATTGTATTAACGTAAAATAGACCTACAGTAGATAATCACATGGTGGAATATTGAATAAATTAAATTTAAATAAATTCTTTTATTTTCAGGTAAAGGCACCAGCTAAACAATATGATGTTTCTGTTGGTTTGTTTCTCAATATATATGTATCAGTACATTTTATTCTCGTTTTAATTGGTCATCAATTGTTAATTGTAAATGTTGCTGTAAGTATATTAAAGTGGGTATTGCCCGAACATTTAAAGCCCAAATAATCTCACTGGCTGGATTTAGTCTGCGATATCACCCTAGGTGCAAGCGGACGTCAAGCCCCACGAGTAAACGATTGAACTGACTAAATGACCCATCACAGTTTTTATCCAAATGTCTTTGTGCAACGCATCCGTGTAAGATTTCAATGGCACTATAAATGCATTATTACATTATATTACATAATAGTACATTAATTAAACAGTATAGGTTTCTGTAAGGCCAATGTCATTGTTTTGATTTCAGGGTTTTAATCAAATGTCTGTGATATCATTTTTGGTTTATATGGGATTTTCCCTTACCATATTTGGGCAGTTGCTTGATGGAAGGTAGGTTGGCTTTCAATCTGGACCTGGTTAACTGTTAAATTAGGAATTATTGGTTTATTTCATTTTATATTCCATATTTTACCAGACTCATTTGTAATATCTGACACGTTCTGTTTTATGTCGACAGAGTGCAGCCAATTGGCCCAACCCTTGTGCTTTACACCATATTATAGCCTGTCATTAATTTCGACCCCAGGCTCGTATATGGCAAGGGATATAGGGTTTAACGTCAACTCGACACAAACTATGTCATTTCGGGACTAACAAATAGTTTATTTTTGTCAATAACTCGCTTGCGCGCAGGGATCTTTTAGCAGTAGGCGGATACCAGAGAACCAGGAGAATACCCACGAGGTTAGACAGACGATCCTACTCCTTGCCACAAGCGCAAAAATCAGAACCACACCACTTGACTTAATGACAGGCCTTATGATCTAACGTGCTAAACCATTCGGCCAACAAACCCCCGATATATGGTTTGTGTTGAGGGGTCGTTAGTCACTTCTTATGCAGTGTAAACAACCATACATAAATACGAAACTAAATAAAGATATCTTTTGTTTTCCTAATTGTGTATTTCAGCGATAAAGGCTCTGTCTTGGAGTTGGTTCGGTGTTTGACTTTTGTGTTCGGTGATATTATATTGAGCAAATATGGATTGTATTCGAATGGGGTTTTACTACAAATTTTAAGATTCTTATTCATTACCTCTGCTGGCCTGTGGTTTGTAAAATGCAAGAATATGTTTTTAAGGAACAGAAATATGAAGAAAGTAGACTAATCTTTTTGACGTATTTGACAGTCCATTCAGTATTTTGGGTGTGGTTAGTTGATTATTCACTGTTAAAACATTCATAAGTTATATGTATATCTTCCTGTGAATCAATTCCTTATTTTCGCAGTCGTATAATAATCATCGTCATAGTCCAGGAGCCAATGACAAAATAATATGGTCATCAGTTACAAAAGGTTTGCCCCCCCCCCCCCAAAAAAAAACAAAAACGTACGAGTAAAAATCAGTTGATCAGATCAGGCACTGCAGCACCTTAAAATTAGGTCATAAGTAACATGACTGAAACTTTCTAGGGACAATGGTATCCATAGTCATCAGTTACATGGCTGAAACTTACCAGAAACCAAAGATAAACACTTAGTAAATACAATTTTCAAAAATGTAACCAAAAATTTGGGGGCTTTCCCCAAGTCAGATCGCTCAAAAGTATGTCCGACCACACCCTAAAAATGGGGCTTTTTATAATTATGATCATCAGTTACATGGCTGAAACTTACCAGAAACAAAGATCCATACTTGGAAAACATATTTTTCAATAATCTAACCAAAAATGTTGGGGCTTTCCTCAAGTCAGATCGTCCTAAAGCCCACCTGACCATGCCCTAAAAATGGGACTTTTTATATGGTCATCAGTTACATGGCTGAAACTTACCAGAAATATTGCTCCATGCATTTTAGCACCCCTGGGAGCTACTTTAAGGTGCTGCTGCGGCCATACGCCCCAGTAGTGCCCGGTCTGACCAATTGATTTTTACTCGTACGGACACCTGCTACAAATTTGGAGGGGTCAAACCTTTTGTAACTGATGACCGTATTATTTTGTCATTAGCTCCTGGACTATTAGTCCCCCCCACACCGTTGAACTATTTGGACGTCTTGTTGGAAAATCAATTATAGAGACAGAGAGAGAGAAATGGGGTTTAACGTCCACTCTACACAAACTAGGTCATTTCGGGACTAACACATGGTTTAATTTTAAATTTTATTTCAATAATTCGCTTGCGCGTAGAGGTCTTTAGCAGTGGGAGGAAACCGGAGGACCAAGAGAAAACCCACGAGGTTGGACAAACGACCCTACTCCTTGTCACGTACAACGGGAATCAATTATAGGGGGTTGGACTATATGGATGCAAAAGGGCTCCGAGTCTAATCAGTGTCCCACTTAACTATTCTGTGTTTAGATTATACCGATCATGGATTAAAATAGATTGGACACTAACATTGTTTACATGACCCATTTTTATTCGACAATGCAAAATGTATAATATACGTATATAAACTATTTAGGTATTCTTATAAAAAATATGAAGCTGTATATAAAAATATTTTAATGAACAAAATAAATATTGTGTTTAAAAATAAAATTGTTATACTTGTAATTGTGCAAATATTTATTTTGGTTCGGGATTGTATCTGGATAAGATGCATAGTCTAATGTTTGTTAGAACCCAGCACGTTTGATGAAAGCTGTTATTTTAACAATGACGGATGCGAAATGGAGATTTTATGTCTACACAACACATACTAGGTCATTTGCTACGAGAGAACTAGCGTCGAAACATCGCATCTTCATAAACCAGTAATTGTTTTACTAGAAATGCCACTCAAATAGTAGGTACAGGAGGACCGCACTACACAACACAAAACCGACAAGACAAACCCGCGGACAAGACGAACTGCGCAGAAGTTAGCATATTATGGTACCGTGTATCATTCTCATTAATTGGCTTTCCTTAATTCAAACAAACCGCCCTATTTTTTTTTTTACTTGTCGCCGCACAACATTTTGTGTAGCATATACTCATACTAAAAGGCAATATAGGCCTACAATTAAACACAAAGTATAGCATAAAATAATTATCATAAGCTGTGTAGTTTTTTTGCGCACTGGGACGTGCCACTACACAGGTATACTATAGTAAAGTGATGTTTATATCGATCGAGAAACGGAACAGGAGATCCCAGTTCGATTACCTCCCTTGCATAATTCTGACAGGAAGGTGAGCTTGCGAACGGTGTTACTGGTTTAAGATTTTCTTTAAATATCGTGTGTTTAATAATTATTTTGTGACAAAAACGAATCCTTGAGGAGCTCCAGATGATAAGCATAGCCATAGCAGCGCGATTCAGTGAGTGCAATATAGAAAGCATTGATACTAAACTACACACCTATGCACATTCTGGCGACGTAAAAGGATTGCGAGAAGCGCTACTAGTACTATCGACATCGTCTGCTAGAAGTGGGTCAAATAGAAACCTTATCAATAAGCGAAATCACCTTGGATGCACTGCCCTTCGTCTGGCCGCAACATGTAAGTTTTGGTAAATCTATTGTAATCTTATGGCATAGGCTGATATTTTCAAATTGAGTGGGTCACATTCATTATTGTATGTTTAAAAGAAATCCTATTCGTAAATAATGGAGTTACTTCCCCTGCATTTGCGCACACTTTGTTCACATTCTCACATTTATTTTAGCGAATACTCTTAAAAAGAAAAAACTTCCAAGCAAACAAACCTATAAACGACAGTTAAATATTTGTTGCCTTCCCAAAAACATAGAGATTGGCAGCAAATCGAACTTATGTTCCAACCCAGTTGATTTCTTCGATGAATTAAATTTAATGGAACGATCTGCTAAAACGCGCGGCATTTTTACGAGACGGCCTAGACATAGCTAATAAAGTAATGGCTTTCAATCAAAATGTTTTTTTTATTATTATTATTTTAATAGGACAATTAAAATTCTATTACCGACCTCATTAAAGACGCGATCAAATAAACTACGTGTTGCAAATGTTTTGGAAAATATACTTATAGACTACCCACAAAATTATGTTTTTAATTTGGCATAGTTTAAGAATATGAGTACGGTTTTGTTTTGTGTTTATCAGGTGGCCACACAGATTGTGTAGACATATTGTTGTCTTATGAGGCGAAAACAGATATAGCTGACATAAAAGGACAGACACCATTGTTTGTTTCTGTTAAAAATGGTCACATAAAATGTGTAGAAACGTTGTTATGGCATGGGGCTAATCCAGAAGGTGGTGACGATGTTATGTACTCACCGCTTTATATAGCATCCATGAATGGTTATAACGAAATATTACAGGTCTGTTTTAATTTCATTAACCCACATTTACTTTGTAGGTCTACTTTAGTAGGCTGAAGGATGGAACATGGGCAATAGAAGTACGTGATCTGTCTTTGAATCTTCCGCGGCATTGGTTTTCAGCTTCCCGCGAGATAGTCGTGCGAGGTATTAGCCAGGGCCGGCGGAAGCAATTCTTGATTGGGGGGGGGGGCTTCCATCCTAGGTCTTTATAGGTCTGTTCAAAGGTTCGCTCAGGAAAGTCATGTCGCTATATTCGTCCAGTTAACGGACAATATTGGTGCCAGTCATTATCACATATGTGATAGAGCTGGTTAAACACATTCCAAATATAATTTTAACACCGAGATCATTGCTACGATAGCTGAGAATACAGGTTTCCTGAATCGGAGCTTATAAAAGCATGGTAAAGCACAGACTTTTTCTGTTTTTCTTTCGTGTTCTCTTATCTATAGTGGCAGTCAATTCTTTTTATGAATTGTCAGATATCCTCTCACAGTCTCACACAACAACTTTTGGTCTTGGAAGGAATTATTAGTGAGCAGAAATTCGCCCATGTATCTGTTATCACTCGTCACTTCAGTCAGTAAAATATAGAGCGATGACTCGTGTTTATTGTCAGATATCCTCTCACAGTCTCACACAACAACTTTTGGTCTTGGAAGGAATTATTAGTGAGCAGAAATTCGCCCATGTATCTGTTATCACTCGTCACTTCAGTCAGTAAAATATAGAGCGATGACTCGTGTTTTCCTTTGTCGTTCGTCACTTCCGATTCAGGAAACCTGTATTACTCAGCTATCGTAGCAATGATCTCTGTGTTAGAATTATATTTGGAACGTGTTTAATTAGTTCTATCACATATATGATAATGACTGACACCAATATTGTCCTTTAAGCTTTCTAAATTCCACCATCTCTAAGACGTCTCACGGCGGACATGGGGGCTTGCATTTTTAAAAAAAAACTTGGAATACACCTGTAGGTTACTGAGCCATCTTTTATTTGTATCTGGTTTTTAATTCCCGATTTTTCTACTTACAGTTATTAATCAAATATGGAGCAGATTTAAATCAAAGAAGAATAAGAGTGGATCGTTCATTCCGTAACGACCCCTTGCAAATAGCGATAGCTTACCACCATTATAATTGTTGTAAGACTTTGCTTTGTGCTGGTTATGATGCCAATGCTGTGGCGTTCAGTTACACGATGTACCATGTTGCGGATAAGCACAAGTGTGATGTAAAATTTCTCCAGTTGCTGTACGAATTTGGGGTTCATTTCTTCACCCGAGACCAGAAAGGAAAATATCCATGGGAGCTAGAACCATCCGAAAGCAAACACAGCGCAATATGTAATAAATATTTAATCTCTATAAAAGGTGACAGCTTATTATTTTCTAGTCTGGACTTTTGTGTCTGGGATATCACCCTGATTGGAAGCGGCCCTATTCAGCAGCAGCATAGCTAGTCTGCGATATCACCTTAGGTCAAACCTGACGTAAAACCCAACCCTTCTGTCAGTCAGCCAGTGCTGGCTTCGATTAGTTGATGGTATCAAATTTGGATAAATAAACATCATCTGTTTTGTCAGGGGGAATATGTGGCAACCAACCACAAATTGGGTTACCACTAGTTCAAATAATGATTTGCTTTAAGTGATCCAAAGAAGAATTTAATCAAATCTAGTACATCTTTTATTTTTCTCCTCAATATTGCACACAAAATATTTACAAATGTGGGTATTTTTTACATTTCAGAAAATAGCAGATCTTTGTTGTCCGCTTGTCGACTGACCATTAGAAAGAGCGTGCGCGACATAAAAACAATGAACCAGCTATGTTTGCCCGTGTGCCTGTTGGACTATTTGAACTATAAACATTTGTGAATCTCAAATTGTTGGTGCTATAATTTGTGGGGTGCAAACAATTTGGTCCCGAGGTCATCTAACTGTAATGTTACACATAAAAACAATTTGATTAGTGTTGGCCAAACAAGTTCCTCGGGGTTTTCCTGCGTGGTTTCCCTGGACAGTTGGAATTGTAAATAAAAGTAAACCATAGCGCTGCAGTCCGGGCAAAATTTTCATCATGGCACACTGCATTTCATTTCATCTAATAGACAAGATTTGGTAATCAAGACTATCGACATTTCTGTAATGGCCACGCAGGCCTATAGTTGACACGACTAACTGCCTTGGAGTGAGCGGATTTTGGCTTAAAACTGACGTGGACCAGTTTTAAAAATATCCATTAGGTAGGCCGGTCTATATCAAGACGCTTGTAACATTGAATATTTCTCTTGGAAGTAACATTAATCTGAGACTACTTATTATGCCTAAAGTACATTAGTTCATATCTGGAGTGTGCTAATAGTCGATTCCTTTAGTACGGTGTTAAAAACTTGTGGAGAGGTATCAAAATTAATAATATAAAAAAGATTTGAACTCCCATGTACCCCCCCCCCCCCTTCCCGAATATTGGGTACCCCTAAGTTAGCCAAAATATCAGTTTCTGTCATTTCACCGTTAACAAGTTTGTTTATAACGCCTTTCACAGGCTCATATCCGTGAGTCTGTATATGACATTGACAATGACCCGCGACAATCCAATATTGCGGAAATCCAAAATGGCGACAAAAATGGTGCCTCCAATATGTATTTTTTTTTGCTTTTCGACCCAACATAGTGTTGTTATACGTCGTCTACTATGTTTTCGAGGGCGTAGAATCTGAATTTGTAGTGATTTCGAACAAAAAAGAAACCACTAACAACATATTTATCATGTGGTGAAATATTCATCAATTCGAATACGATTACATAATATCATTATTTTGACAAAGTTAATTTATCTCAGACTGAATTCAAATCACTCTTCGTTACATCTGCTTTATAACTGAGATTGCTTATGTAGGCCTTCGAATTGGCCCCATAAACAGATGCTAGAAACTTTTTATGGTCGTTTAATAAACGGAAAATGTCACTTTGTTTAGGTACTGATAAGGCTGTATCTCGAACATATCTTACTCGATATACAGACGTTTTTAGTTGTTCATCAACATCTGATTCCTTGTGAAAGGACGACCCGTTTTTTTCTTCAGTTTAATCAAATGCTTCTTATACAGCCTTATCAGTACCTAAACAAAGTGACATTTTCCGTTTATTAAAAGACCATAAAAAGTTGCCAGCATTTGACAGGGAAAGGTGGGTTCAGAGGTCTATTGGTTTAACGCGTGCGCATGCAATCACAAGGTCTGTTATTGA